ATCAAGGGGCTGAAAGCTCACGGCTCCAATCAGGCGACATGTTTACTTTCTTTTCTTTTTGAAACTAAACATTCAACTATTAAATGTGCAATATGCAGAAATCGCTCTGCCATTTCCTGGTTGCTAAAATTCTAATGGCACGTCTAATTTCAGTTTATGTGACAAAACAAGCAAGTATAGTATACAGAATCATTGTACCATCTAAACCGCTGTGAAATATATTTTCAATAACCAAAAGTATTGTATTTTCAGGTGTTTGAAGCTGGTGTACAAAACCGAAAGTAAAACATTCCAAAACAAAACGGGAAGCATAGAAATAGTGCACACACTGTAGAACAGATCTACCGCTTCTTAGACTTGCTTTCATACTGTATAAAAAAGTCATACCGTATAAAAAAATCACGACAGCTGTAATGGAAACAGTACGTTTCGGTACAATTCTATAAACGCAGACAGACAATTTGTTCGTTCGACATGGTGGGATCTTTTTGTGTCAGTAAAATTAATTATGCGAGAAATGGTGGTGGAAACGTCTTTATGCGCAAACATTTATATAATAACCATCATATCGAAGTAAACTTGGAGTCACGCGATGATATGGTGTGTGATCTACCCCACTACGACTCTGGGAAGCATGCAGTTTATTAGGCTACAGATTAAATAATTTAAGATGAACTTCACAGGTTGGTGAACGTGCACAGTGATCTTGATGCCCCTTTCCAATAAATATCGAGGGTCTGATTCTGGTGACATGATGATCGATGCTTGACTGCCGTTTGACAAATAAAAATATTCATGTAGACTAGCCTACCCGCACAGCCTACCCACATTTGCTTTTTAACGCAACAGTTTTTGTGACAAATGGAAACACATTGAACTTTAGATTTTTCTTTGGTATATGAACGCTTAAGCGAACATTTTCCATTTTCTTTAAGAATATTTTAGAATATTCACATGAAAATCTGTCTCCAATTGGAAGGAAACCTAGCTAGTGAGAATGGCAGATCTATAACTAACATTTCTATATGAATTTGGTCGGGTCGCACAAAAAGTTTACATATTGCAGCTTTAAAACAATAAATATGGCCTTTGTTTTGTGAGCACAATTGTTGATCATTAACAGACCACATTTAATAGTGAGAGACCAAATACTTTCATCTCAGCAGGATTTGAGACTGCAACTGTACTGTATGCACTGTGTGAATGTGTAAACTCCAGGGCTTAGGCTATCTCCTGTGTTCAAGGTGATTGGTTAGTCGTCTTCTTGGCATTGCTGGATATGTACAGTATACACAGAATTAGTTGAATGTACAAAACATCCACAAATATATATTTATAACATATCCTGTCACCTACGCACAGCATAAGAAATGCAAAACTGAAACTTAAGGTGTCAAAATAATTTAGTTTGAAGTGATTGGACTTTCTTTTACAATATGGTTAATCTACTCTATGGTGCTGAGGTGATTATTTTCATTCCATTTTAAACTTTAACGGCAAGGGCTTTGATTTAGGCAATTGAATATATACTAAGCAAGCTGTATTTTGCAACATTGTGTTTATTACCTTTAGTCAATAATGCCATACCAGCATCATGTGTTATGTTTTCATTTTCAGTCTGCTCTCATAAAAAGTCCTCATAACATGTTCAAAACCTAAAGCTGCAGAGTGTAGGCCTATCTCTATTCTCAAGAGAATCAATTATTCAATATTATTTGCATCATATTTGTCAAAAATGTGCGAAAGAGCATGCCACAGTTTTCTTACCATGCAAAGAAAAATGAATGTGGTAGGCCTATGTTAGAGAACGTTGTCATCCAATTTGTTTAGGCTATGTATTAATAGGCTAATAGACACAAACTTATTATTGGACGCAAATAATACATCCTCATGCATGCAATTGTCAAACAACTTACTTTGACTATCGAATTTCCTGATGATGGTATCGAGGAAAGTATTCTGTGGTGCCACGTGACCCCTTCGGACTGGCATCTTTGCGGTACGCTATCCCACTGGAGTTGTTGGACTTTGTGTCGCTGATGCTGACCTCTACGTCGACGAGTCCCGACAAACGGACGACATTCACTGTGCCATAGAATAATAAATACTGTAGTCCTCGACCGACGTTTTTGTAACTTTATGAGACGGACCAAGTGGACAGTCCTCTAAGGGAAAATGAGCGTTCTAGAAATGAGCCTCCACTTTATTTGCGCTCCAGGAGGATCGCGAGACAGTTTCCACGGATAGGAGCGCGTGTTTGTTTACGTCCCCTGAGCTGTCAAAAATGATATGCTGTCAGGTGAATGGCAAGACGAGAGGTTACTTCTTGTCATTTGTCATTGCAGACTCAGGGGAGGGGGAGTCGGTCAGCCTGCCAAGGAACCTTGGTTTTGCCATAGTTGCGTCCTGTTTTCTCCCCTGGCTCTCTTATTCTTCCCTGTTTCCGTGCACCGGATGGAAGCAACAGAGATAACCCAGTAGTCTAGTTGAAGAAAACGTAGGGTAACGTCCGTTCTAGTTCGTTGTGATGTGGTCGCTCTGGAGGAGAGTGGTCTGTGCGCTCGACATAGATGATTGCTGCTCACCGGGGTTGGCGACAGCGCCTCTTTAACCCTTCGTCGTCGGCAAACAGAACTGTTGAAATATTGGCTGATAATACAAAGCACAACCTCGTCAGCCATTAAATATAATCATCATTTTGATAATATTGTGGTCAGTAATATAAATATCCTACATTAATTTAGCCCATCTAGCATAGAAGCTGCGCAGGCGAATTAACAAAGAGAAAGAGATGCGACTATTCTGAAGAACTGTCTGCTTTAACTAGAGAGAGCTAACATAATCTGGTTTGAAATAGGCTAAACCAAACTGCTGCCTCTGTGGTCAAACGGTTAGGTGACTGTCCACACAGGTGCAGCTGCATTTACATTCACAGGTGAAGGCTAACCCACATGACATCACTGCGTAGGCTAGAATTTAACCGAACTGGCACACACAACAGTCGCTATTCATTGTGAGGCTGTGAGTCTAATTCAAAATTAAAGGTGAAATTGCAATCGAAAACCCGTGCTGGTTGTGGTCGGTTTAAATTGGCGTGTGAAGTGCCCAATGCGTTGACTCACCTCTTTGTCAAAATGCGCTTTTTTAGGACTCTCGGTGCGCTTTGTTAATTTAATGGGAGGATGCTGGGGCTTCACCCTCAATTGTCTCGTGTATGAAGGGGTTTCAAACTAGCAGACACGTCACTGCCTATGCAAGAGCACTGGATGTGGGGTTCCCCTTTCGTCACCAGTGCGAGATAAGACAAAGGGCGCGCTCTGCGTTCAGCATGCATGTTGTTGGCACTGTCTGATGCACTTTGATGTTATTTAACAGCATGATGCTCAACTCTCCCAACCGATACACAGTATCCTCTTAACTAAATACAACAAACACACAATAACACATGTTATCCTGATAGATTTTAATGTATTTTATTTTTAAGGCGGTAATGTGAAGTGGAGGGGGATCCATAGCGCTCCGCAGGGCGGCGAGCTGCCTCCCTCTCGTTCCAACTCCCTTATTTAGTCAGGAGGAGAGAGAGGACACAGTCACGCGGTGGTCTCATGTAAGCGTCCCCCAGTGAGCTCTTCCAGTCTGCCTTCGGTTGTGAATCTCTCTCTCTCTCTCTCTCTCTCTCTCTCTCTCTCTCTCTCTCTCTCTCTCTCTCTCTCTCTCTCTCTCTCTCTCTCTCTCTCTCTCTCTGTCTCTGTCTCTGTCTCTGTCTCTGTCTCTCTCTGAGACTGCTTGTTTAAATTTGACATGCCAATCTTTTCACAAAGACATGCATATGATTAGATTTACCAAATATACTGGTATAGATGTCACATTCAGCAGCATACATAGTATTACATAATCTTTAAATATATATATCTTTTTTTACAGAATAATACATTGAAACAGAAAATGCTTTCATTAAAACCACTAGTGATTTATTAGAAAAGTAGCAAAATGCTGTACAGTGTAAAGGATCTGAGAGTTTCAGAAGGCACTCTATGATAGTTGATCCAGTCATATAATGACTATGGACCACAGAACATGTCTATAATACAGGAAATCAGGACACCTGGTCTGTCCATCCACCTGTCTGTCTGTCCCTCCGCATACACACACACTAGGCCTATACACACACAATCAGCGTCTGGACAGATCTCCCCCTGTGTATGAAAAGAATGCAAACACACCCATGAAATAAGAGCTATTGAAGATAATTGCTTTGTAATAAAAATGTCAAAGTATCATATATCAAGAGTAACACAGATTGACAGCTGTGATCTTCCTTAAATGTAGTCTTCACTGAGAATGTATTACATACATTATTTTATTACACATGTTAAACATGGAATTGCTCAATAAAAAATCTGTCAGCAGGCAATGCCCTCCTAACTGTATGATTGAAGAATCTGAGCGCTGTGAATTGCCTTGTGATATAAATATCAAATTAGCTAATACAATCAGCCATGTTGATTATGGATAACTACAATATTTGGTTATTCTAAGTGGGGTCCTGATTGAATTATGCATGTTGGGAAACATAAACATAAGTTCAGCAGGGGGGATGCAGCCATCATAGTGTTTAAAGTGCATTAACAGAGAATGACAAAGAGTGGAAGAGACAGCGAAGGACAGTGGGACAGCAACTGGGTGTGAGTGACAGAGACAGCGGCCATGACGGTTGGGAGTGATGGACTGATAGACAGCATGACTAACAGCATGGGCGCTGGCAGGAAGTGGGTGGGTGGGAGAGAGAGTGTGTGTGTGTGTGGAGGGCTATTTGTGTGTGTGTGAGAGTGAGTGAGCGTGTGTTTGTTTGCACATGTAAGTTCGTATGTGTGTGCATATGAGCTTGTGTGTGTGTGTGAGTGTCTGGTCGTGTACTGTAGGCTATGCGTTTGTCTGTCTGTGTGTGGGAGGTTTAAAGAGGCTACTGATGAGGTGATAAGCAGGGGTCAACGTGTGTGTCAGAGTATACTGTACCCACCTTGGCAGCTGGTGCACTCACAGCTGTGTATGACAGGCAGGACGACGGGCTCACTCTCACCACTGTCACACAGGAGGCTAAGGAAGCGCACTGGGCTCTCAGGGTCCAACCGGTAGCTGCAGCAGTCACACAGCGACTGGAGGTAAGGCTCCTGAGTGAGGGAAGGAGGGAGGAAGGAGGAGAAAGGGAGGGATGGAGAGGTAGAGAAAGGGAAAAGGGTGCGCGCGTGTGAGAGAGGTGTGAGTTCGGGACTGAAACTGACACCAATCACCAGCTATTTTAGCTACCATGGTAACGGAAGGTAGTGAAACATTTAGCTGAGATCATGTTTATTTTTACTTACTCACATTTTCACAGTGATGTCATTACATTATTTCTCTACCATGGGAGTTTAAGAGTAAAATAAAAATCACTGTGGTGATTGGTCTAGGATCTCTCTGTTCTGGATGAAGTGCCAATAGCTCTACATTCAACTGGTGAAAAAAAGCACACAAATGGGGCCTATTGCAACATTACAGAAAATTCACATAGAAATGTATTGTATAGAATAGACATGGTTCTTTCTCTATCTTACAGGATAGGGAATCAGGTCCACTCTACATTTCACATTTCTGTCTGCAACACTGCATCCCAACCCAGTGCATAAGAGTGGGTGAAAGCAGCGACATCAGCAAACCTCCAAAATGACGTCAGTTTTGGACAAACAGCGCCCTCTACAGTAGCTGACTTCCACGTTGTCAAGACGACAGTCTCCCTTAGTGATGTTCCTGACCTCCGTGTAACGGCGACACTCCGCCACGGGCTCCCCTGGTAAGATGAGAGGAATGGAGGAGAAAATAGGACAGGGCAGAGAGATAAAGGGAGAGAGGGAGATAAGAGGAGCGGCGGAGGAAGAGGATAATGATGGGGCAGCACAGGGAGTTGAGAAAATAAAAGAGGGTTTTGTGTTTGAGTTAATGAATGAGAGAGAGAGAGAGAGAGAGAGAGAGAGAGAGAGAGAGAGAGAGAGAGCTCCAAAGGCACATTGACTTTCAATGCCCCCTCACCAACTGTGCCATTATACAACATTGAAAGAGATAAATGCTGTCTTATTGTACATGCCCTGTGGACAATTTAGGACCTAAAGCACTTTGTTTCACACAAAATATTTTATAAATACAGGAAGAGAAGGACTAAGCATTGTTTATGTTGAACTCTTACCAGGGAACTCCTTCCTGCAAACTGGGCAGCAGCTGCCTGGTTCCTCCACTTTCACTTCCCCCTGATATAAGAGGAGAGGGGAGGAGAAGAGAATAGATGGGAGGAGAGGAGAGGATGAGAGGGGATGAGAGGAGAGGAGAATGGAGGGGAGGGGAGAAGAGTGTGGATGGGAGGAGAGGAGAGGGAGGAAGAGGAGAAAATACTTGTCACTATCTTAGCTTAGTAATTGAGTCCCCAACATGTCCCGCTCTGAGAATAGAATAGAGCTGTTTCAGGAATGAGTCATCATCTTCCAGGAGAGGTCTGCTGACAGGAGCAAGTGCACCACCACGCCCCTCCACAATGCACTGCTCCAGACCTGTCCCGGCCCCAGGGAGGGTGAAGGTCAGCTCAGCCACTTAAAGGGGAGGTAAGTGTGAGCCTCAGTTTTTGAAAGGAGATGTAAGTGTGATCCTCAGTTATTTAAAGGTGAGGTAAGTGTGATCCCCAGTTATTTAAAGGAAAACCACGCAAAAACTATATTTTGGTATTTGTTTCATTAGTCCATTGTTGATATAGTCCCAAAATGTTTTACATGTCAGCAATCAAGTAATGAAGCTATATAACTTTCAAAATACAGAAGGTATGATGCATTTTGCATTATATGATGCTCCGTTTTGCATCATATTATGCTAAATGCATCATACCAGCTGTATTTCTGTATTTTGAAAGTTATATACAGTATCTTGAAAATGTTATTTCTGACATGCAAAACATTTTGGGACTACAGTATATCAACAATGGACTAATGAAACCAATACCAAAAGATAGCTTTTGGGTGGAGTTTTCTTTTAAAGGGTATGTACAGGTCCGGTAGATGCACCCATTTTGTTTTATTTTCCTTGTACCAAGCTCACATCACAACTTTGCCAGTGTCATAAAGGAGGCACACTAACTATATCACTATTATTGCTCTTTGTGCTTTTGTGAATTGTTTGTTAGTGTTGTTTTTTCTTTTATTGTTTGAATTTGTTGTTTATGGATGTTATGTGGCTTGTCTGCCACCAGGTGGCATGTTATGTTTTGTCTTGCACAAAATAAGAAGAAAAACTCCAATACAAATATGAAAACAAAGGGGAGATAAGTGTGATCCTCAGTTATTTAAATGGAGGTAAGTGTGATCCTCAGTTATTTAAAGGGGAAGTAAGTGTGATCCTCAGTTATTTAAAGGGGAGGTAAGTGTGATCCTCAGTTATTTTTGTAGCTACTTAAAAAAGGGAGGGGGGAAAAGATAGGGTGAAACCAGTTATTTAAAGGTTAGGTAGCTATTGATAGCCAACTAGTGATAGCCTCTTAATCTGGAGGTGAGGGAGAACCCAGTTATTTAAAGGGGGTGAGAACAGAACTGAGAAAGGGAAAAATACTGACTACTTTGTGTAAGTACATATTGATTTAGCTCTGGGCTGTAACTCACACAACCCCCCAAACCTTTTGGCTTTTTCTGGGAATTTCTCCAGCTGTAAGAATAACTGAGATGTCAGTGGAAGTGCTGTTTCTTATCTCTCACCTCTTCACACTGCAGTGGTGGGCATCCCGATTGGCACCGCTTCTGCCCGTTCACACAGCGGCACACCAAGCAGCCCTCCTTCCATTCAGAGCTAGCCTGTGAGAAACACACACAGACACACACACAGATGCATAAAAGCATGCATGCACGCACACACATGCACACACACACACCGACAATAAATATGTTGCATTTGCAGTGGCTATTACAGTGCTATTGCCATTAATGATTGAGGTGGCTGATTATAACCCCCACATTGATCTTCATGTGGACATTATTCATGACAACTTAAGAGAAAGAGGAGAAACCGACCCCCTGTCATCACATGATTAATCCTTCCTATAATATCTTCTTATGAAATATTCTTATTATACGTCTTTAAAGAGGTGGTGCAGTTCATTTCTGTAGCACTATAATAGCTTTCAACAGTACCCTGCATTATTGATAGTGGGGCATTGTACTTTAAGGCATTGTACTTTAATGTGGCCCACGGGGCATGCCCATCCTCACTACTCATCCCTCCTTTGTGTGTGAATACACACACACACACCCAAACACACATACATACACTCCATCATCGTTATTTATCCCTCCTTTATGTGTGAACACACAAAGGTATTGAAAGGAGTGCAGGTAAACAGATGGAATGGAAGGAGGGGAGTGAGAGTCCAATGGAGGAAGGACAATGAGGTACAATCTGCGTTGCAGGAGGGATAGGAGTTTATGTTGGGCCCTTTTGTTGTGTGTGTGTGTCTGGTTATGTGCATAGGTGCATATAATTGTACTCTTTTATGTAACTTTTTGGGTGTATGTAAGTGTACATAAACATACTCATTTGTTTGTTTGTCTGTGTGTGTACCTCTCTCAGCGTCCCCTGGTCCTCACACGGGCAGAGTGCAGGGATCACACAGTGGCCCTCTGCGTTTCGGTAGAGCCCCTCCTTACACACACACCCCTCGGAGGCGCTGCAGTTGAGTGGGGAGGTCAGGTAGATCTCTACACAGCTCCTCTCACACACAGACAGAGCCTCCGATACACTCCTCCTCCATATCTCTCCACCAGGACAGGCTACAGGGGGAAGTAGTGAGAGTTGTAGGAAGAACAACAAACTGGAGGGGGGAAGACAGTATGGGGGGGGGGGATACGTTTGGGTCTACACACCAAACTCCTTTCAAGTCACATATTTGTTTTAATTATAGCTCCAGCACACCTTATTCAACAAATCAATGTATCATCAAGTGGTGTTTGTGCTGCATTAGAACAAATACAGGTAACTGCCAAAATAAAAGAAACACTTGAGTAAACAAGGGACACTAAATATATTGAAAGCAGGTGCTTCCACACAGGTGTGGTTCCTTAGTTAATAAATTAACATCCCATCATGCTTAGGGTCATGTATTAAAATGCCCAGTTGCCCATTATTTTGTCTACCAGGGCTAGAAGAAGAGATCTCAGTGACTTTGAAAGAGGGGTGTCAAAGGAGCATAGGAGGTTTAAAGTGTGTGTGTGTTTGTGTGTGGGTGTCTCAGTCACCAGATCTCAAACCAGTTGAACAATTATGGGAGAGTTCCAGACACTTTTAGAATATATGCCAAGGCGCATTGAAGCTGTTAAGACATGCCAACCCCCTATTAAGATACTTTATGTTGTGGTTTCTTTTATTTAGGCAGTTACCTGTATGTGCAATGGCTGGGGGTCCCAGAGGACTGGGTTGGAAAACACTGCCCTAGAATGAAATGCAATCCCAGTCCCTCACTTAGGGCCTACATACTAGACCTCAGACACTCACCACAATCAGGGGCCCTGCAGATTGCTGTATGCTGGGCCGGGCCCTCACACTCTGCCCCTTCGTATTGCTGAGCCTGGAAGACGGTCCGTTTGGCGCTCCGCTGGCCAGAACCACAGCTCACTGAGCACTGACTCCACTCTGACCAACTACCCCACTCACAGTCCACTGGAGTGACGCATGGAGGAAGATAAGGATGTGAAGGAGTGATGGAGGCAGAGAGAGGCATAGAGGAAGAGAAAGGGTGAGAGAAAGAAAGCGAGGGGAGGGAGAGATATGTTTGGTCTGACACATACTGTCCATTACAAAGGAGGGTAATTTCACAGAGAGATTCGGGCACTGAAATCCTTTGGTGATAGTCGGTAGTTGATAGTCTAGCTGGGGACATATTTAATTTGGTAGTTTTGCTACAGTGGGAAACTACAATGTTATCATATGCCACCTGCTGGCACTTGCTGGTAGAGCAGGTATCTAGTTTCCTACACGCAATGGCTTCTGTATCATGTCAACATTGTACACAGCTACTAAAACATGATAAGGTCAAAGAGCTATACTCACCATTGCATGGGTCCTCGGTACAATTGAATACTCCTCCTCGACAAACACTTAGGAAGAGAGGAAGAAAGAGAGAGAGTATTTATCAAGGGATTGATAAATACATGACACATTAGGATCCAAAGATGAGAAACTCAAACAGTCAGTTAATCAAACAATCATGTCTCTCAGTCCCTCAGTCTATTAGCTGTGTATCAAAACCCTGGGCTGAAAGATGAAATGACTTACCTCATGTCTGAGTCTGACAGACTCTCCATTACATAGTCTCATGTGACAGTCATAAATACTGTACATAAATATAGCTGGCCAGCACGCACACAAGTTCTGGTTTTGGGTGCCGAGACGATCAGTTACATTCCAAAGATGTGTAATACTGTACAGTATGTTGGGTCTAGGTAATGTATATCTGTCAATCAACCGCTATGACTTCTTATCAAAGGTAATAGGCTAGCTATATATCCCAAATCAAATCTGTCAATCATGGAATTGGATTGCATATCTTTTAAACAAAACACGTTTTGAAGATATACTACAAGCCTTAGTAAGTAACTGTATAATAATGGCTACTGATGGAGGTGTTGACTACCATGTGTTGCACTGGTGTTGTAAGACCGTCCCAGAGGCCACCTCTTCTTTGGGGTCATCCAGGGTCATGTTCAGAGTCCCCGGGAGGGAGTGCGGAGAACAGGGACACGCATCATGAGGGACACATGATCCGTTGTACAGCACCTGGTGAAGGAAGACGATCAGATGACAGGTAGATGTCGCGTGGTGGTTAGATTAGATTAGTGTAAATTACAGTCATCTTTTCACCTGGTAACTACATAACAACTATCAAGTAGCAATACCAAGGACATCAGATATTTTCGCATTGTATTGACTCAAATCAAATCAAATTGTATTTGTTACATGCGCCGAATACAACAGGTGTAGAACTTACAGTGAAATGCTTACTTACAAGCCCTTAACCAACAATGCAGTTTTAAGACAATAAATGTTATGTAAAAAATAGATAAGTAAAAAATAATTAAAGAGCAGCAGTAAAATAACAGAAGCGAGGCAATATACAGGGGGTACCGGTACAGAGTCAATGTGCGGTGGCTCAGGTTAGTCGAGGTAATTTAGGTCATATGTACATGTAGGTAGAGTGTCCTGACCATGCCTGAGCGTACTGACCATGAAATGTGTGTTACTCAGTAATAAGCACACTGTCACTGTCACTGCCTGACGATGCCTGAGCGTACTGACCATGCCTGGGGGACAGGTGCATCCAGGTATGCAGGGTCCAGATACACACTGGTTCTCTGGCCAGAGGTCCTCACAGCTGTAGGGGCAGGAGCCAGCACACTGGCTGAACACCTGGCTGGATGAACACTCTGCACAGGGACACATGTTTCATGTCAATACTTAGGACCAGTACGCTTCAGTAAATGTGTGCTTTCAATATGTCAATGGTACGTTATTAAGTGTACCAGGTATGTATGATGATACATGTCTCTATTTTCCACCCGTATAGTTCTAAAATAAAAGCATGCTCAACTTCAAGTTTTTGTGTTACCTGGTGTCTTGTGTGTTACCTGGTAGACAGCTGTTGGTTTTACAGGCAGTGTGCTGTTCTAAGCGAGTAGGACACTCCTGTCCCCCGGGCTGTGGCTCCTGTAAGACGGTCTTGTTACGCACTGACACCCCTCCACCACACGAGGCGCTGCACTCACTCCAAGATGACCACTCACTCAACACACACCCGGCTGGAAAGGAGGGTTTATTTATTTTCCCATTTGTACTTTAACTATTTGCACATTGTTACAACACTGTATATATACATAATATGGCGTTTGAAATGTCTTTATTCTTTTGGAACATCTGAGTGTAATGTTTACTGTTAATATTGATTGTTTATTTCACTTTTGTTTACTGTCTACTTCACTTGCTTTGGCAATGTTAACATACGTTTCCCATGCCAATAAAGCCCTTAAATTGAATTGAGAGGGAGGGAGTGTGTGTGAGTGAGAGAGAGAGAGAGAGAGAGAGAGAGAGAGAGAGAGAGAGAGAGAGAGAGAGAGAGAGAGAGAGAGAGAGAGAATTATAATTTATTCAACTAACAAACAGATAAACTCCAAATTGTAAATGTTGACCATCTTCAGGTCATCTGTGTGGGACCATCCATATTATTTGGTACCATGTGTTGTATGTCACTGACCTAGACAAGGGGGCAGCACACAGGTTTCAGTGTGGACTGTCTCAGCACAGGGTGGCCCTCCTTCTGTGTCATTGCAGGGACGTATCCTCATCCTCTGTCCCGTCCCACAGGACTCTGAGCAGGCGCTCCACTGTCCCCAGGGACCATAGACGGGACACAACAGGTCGATGCACCCCAGGGTGCCATTCTCACACACACTGGAGCACACAGGGACAGAGTAGAGATGGATAGATTGTTAATTAACCACTAAAAGAACAATCTTCGGGATGTCTCATGGTCTGACAAACACGGATGTAGCTCGGCCACCTTCCACCGCAGATGCGGAAGGCCGACACAAGCGTATGCGGTGGATTGAGACGCAGCCCATGCAAAAAAACAAGATATCTCTAGCTTAAACTGACGGATGTTGATGGGGATTTAAAACAATTATGTTACTTAGATTGACGCACCTGTGCATCAATAGACTCTTAAGGCTAAAACAATAGCTGTTGTCTCTATGAGAAGATGCCTCCATTAAATAGACCATACAAGATGCAACAGGTCACTTTACCTACAATTCTTAAATTAAATAAATTGGTCATTTAGCAGACGCTCTTATCCAGAGCAACTTACAGGAGCAATTAGGGTTAAGTGCCTTGCTCAAGGGCACATCGACAGATTTTTCACCTAGTCAGCTCTGGGATTAGAACCAGCGACCTTTCGGTTACTGGCACAACGCTCTTAACCACTAAGCTACCTGCCGCCCGGCAGTCATGTTAGATAATCATATTCTGATTATGACTGTGGTGAAATCTAGCACTAAACCATACTCACATAGTAATTTGTTTGCAATAACTTGTATGTGATAGTAATTATAGAGGGCCGAATTCAAACTTGAGATCTGCATGTGTAACTCACACATACATCTTCCATTGATGTCAGTCGGAGATATGTACAAAAAAAGTTACACTCAAGTTAAGATTTGGCCTATAATAATGATATTTCTAGTGTTGATAAATTTGAGGGCGTGTGGATATGAGGCTCCTACAGGTTCCTAACCAGGTTCCTAACCAGGTGTCGCAGTCCAGATCCTCCAGGTTCCTAACCAGATTTCTCACCAGGTGTTGCAGTCCAGTGTGATGTTCTCAGCAGGGCTGATTTCTATGGTGCCGTTGCCCATGGGAACCCCACAGCGACACTCCGACACCTGAACACAGTCCCCGTCCTGCAGCAGCCAGCCCTCTGGGCACCGACACCCTGGGAGAGGGAGGGAGAGAGAGACAGAGAGAGAGACAGAGAGAGAGACAGAGAGAGAGACAGAGAGAGAGAGAGAGAGAGAGAGAGAGAGAGAGAGAGAGAGAGAGAGAGAGAGAGAGAGAGAGAGAGAGAGAGAGAGAGAAAGAAACAGAGAGAGAGAAAGAGAGAGATATAGACAGGGACACAGAAAGAGAGACAGAGAGAGAGAGAGAGAGAGAGAGAGAGAGAGAGAAGAGAGAGAGAGAGAGAGAGAGAGAGAGAGAGAGAGGTTGGGATGGACTTCCTCTTCTTGTGAGGGTAGCACACTGAAAGTCACAAAGTGTTCCAGTATAATACACTGATATAAGGGACACAGTGACATGAGGTCATAGGTCCAGTACCTGGGTGACAGACTCCCTGCAGACACTGCACATGCTCCCAGAGGTCAGTACAGCTCCGGGGACACTGATTGGCACAAGACACCTGGTAGACCCGCCCCCTGTCCTCACAGCGCTCGCCTAGATCACACAAGAAAGGAGTCAATCAACACTGTCTCCTTTTAGACCACATTGTAAGAAGTTTTAGGCACATACAGTATAGGAACATTGTTAACCAGTTAAAATGTCCAGTAAAGGGTTAAAGGGTACCTGGACAGAGGCCAGTGTTGCAGCTCTGGGTCTGGGTCTGCTGTTTTCGACACTGGGGTCCTGGAGGGGAGGCCTGGGGCTGTCTGTGGCGCTGTCTGACCCCACCACTGCACGGCTCCTGACACACACTCCACACACTCCACACACTCCACTGGCACAGGTCTGGAAATGACATTGGCATGAACATCGTTATCAGCATCATTGTCATTGTCATCATCATCATCATCATCATCATCATCATCATACTGAAGAGCGTCATGAGTCATGACAGTTGTTTAGTATTGACTGAGTGTAGCATATTCTTAGTGTACAATACCACCCACCTCTGCATGCATTGGGGTCTGGGCAGAACCTCTCCTCCTCCAGCTCCCCGGAGCACTGTGCCCCCTCTTCCTCCCCTGAGACTGGCTGGCCTGAGTCCAGGTCCAGACAGGCTCGGTAGCGTCGCTGGACAGACACCAGGGCTGCAGCGCCACCCTGGGGAGAGGAGGAGGACTGCAGGGAGGAGGCAGGCACACACGGAGAGCAAGGGGTCCACTCTGACCACTCACTGAGAATGACTGAAGGAGAAAGAGAGGGAGGGAGGGATGGTTGGAAGGGGGGAGGGAAGAGGGAGAAGGAAAGAGGGGAAGGGTTTAGAGGGGTACAGAAATAGAGAGGGGTACTATCTCTAAAACCAGGAAATGGATGTACTACAGCAGGGTTCCCCAACCGAATTTGGCCCGTGAGTGGTTTTATTTGGCCCCCCAAGTTTTCAGAGCAAAAATGTTTAATACAATTTAAGTGATTTTAATTTAGAAAATCTGTTCCGAAGCATAATAGAGAGACACATGATCATATACAGTGGGGAAAAAAAGTATTTAGTCAGCCACCAGTTGTGCATGTTCTCCCACTTAAAAAGATGAGAGAGGCCTGTAATTTTCATCATAGGTACACGTCAACTATGACAGACAAAATGAGAAAAAAAATCCAGAAAATCACATTGTAGGATTTTTAATGAATTTATTTGCAAATTATGGTGGAAAATAAGTATTTGGTCAATAACAAAAGTTTCTCAATACTTTGTTATATACCCTTTGTTGGCAATGACACAGGTCAAACGTTTTCTGTAAGTCTTCACAAGGTTTTCACACACTGTTGCTGGTATTTTGGCCCATTCCTCCATGCAGATCTCCTCTAGAGCAGTGATGTTTTGGGGCTGTCGCTGGGCAGCACGGACTTTCAACTCCCTCCAAAGATTTTCTATGGGGTTGAGATCTGGAGACTGGCTAGGCCACTCCAGGACCTTGAAATGCTTCTTACGAAGCCACTCCTTCATTGCCCAGGCGGTGTGTTTGGGATCATTGTCATGCTGAAAGACCCAGCCACGTTTCATGTTCAATGCCCTTGCCGATGGAAGGAGGTTTTCACTCAAAATCTCACGATACATGGCTCCATTCATTCTTTCCTTTACACGGATCAGTCGTCCTGGTCCCTTTGCAGAAAAACAGCCCCAAAGCATGATGTTTCCACCCCCATGCTTCACATTAGGTATGGTGTTCTTTGGATGCAACTCAGCATTCTTTGTCCTCCAAACATGACGAGTTGAGTTTTTACCAAAAAGTTCTATTTTGGTTTCATCTGACCATATGACATTCTCCCAATCCTCTTCTGGATCATCCAAATGCACTCTAGCAAACTTCAGACGGGCTGGACATGTACTGGCTTAAGCAGGGGGACACGTCTGGCACTGCAGGATTTGAGTCCCTGGCGGCGTAGTGTGTTACTGATGGTAGGCTTTGTTACTTTGGTCCCAGCTCTCTGCTGGTCATTCACTAGGTCCCCCCATGTGGTTCTGGGATTTTTGCTCACCGTTCTTGTGATCATTTTGACCCCACGGGGTGAGATCTTGCGTGGAGCCCCAGATCGAGGGAGATTATCAGTGGTCTTGTATGTCTTCCATTTCCTAATAATTGCTCCCACAGTTGATTTCTTCAAACCAAGCTGCTTACCTATTGCAGATTCAGTCTTCCCAGCCTGGTGCAGGTCTACAATTTTGTTTCTGGTGTCCTTTGACAGCTCTTTGGTCTTGGCCATAGTGGAGTTTGGAGTGTGACTGTTTGAGGTTGTGGACAGGTGTCTTTTATACTGATAACAAGTTCAAACAGGTGCCATTAATACAGGTAACGAGTGGAGGACAGAGGAGCCTCTTAAAGAAGAAGTTACAGGTCTGTGCGAGCCAGAAATCTTGCTTGTTTGTAGGTGACCAAATACTTATTTTCCACCATAATTTGCAAATAAATTCATTACAAATCCTACAATGTGATTTTCTGGATTTTTTTTCTCAATTTGTCTGTCGTAGTTGACGTGTACCTATGATGAAAATTACAGGCCTCTCTCATCTTTTTAAGTGGGAGAACTTGCACAATTGGTGGCTGACTAAATACTTTTTTTTCCCCACTGTACAAATGTAAGCAAGGTTCGAAATGATTATGTTTTAGTGAAATATTATATCTGTTTGGGCTTCTTGCGGTCAATTTGCAGTCTACAAATTATTTGTAATTATGTTCCAGTCCCACGACCATCCACCCAAGAAAAAATCACCCCGCGGCTAAATCTAGTTGATGATCCCTGGACTACAGTATGTCTTACCTTCACACTCTCGCATGTCACACTGCAACGTCCCATTATGACAGAGGCTGGGAAGGAATCAGACAATACAAAGAGAGTCATAATACCTCTAAAACCATCTCGTAAACATTGTGCTATGCAGACTTTATAAGGCCAACTTATTATTCCGTGTATGGATCTATCTACGGTGGACCCAGGGGGGGGCAAAGTAGCTTTAAAAATACATATCTATTTAATGGTCTATCTTAGTGTTTCTCTCTCTTGGCCTTTGCTTCCTTGTTATTATTTGTGTCTATTCTGAGACTATGGGTATCATATTGAAACTTTGTATAGGTTCTCCTTCACTTGTTAAAATAGTTAAGTCACTCACCAGGTGCTGCAGTCTATAGTGACCATGGTCCCCTGTGGGACAATCACAGAGACAGGTCTCCCTGAGGCCTGATGTTGGAGGTGCACACAGCCACACTGCTCTGGGGGCACACAGGTCCCGTTCTGCTGCAGCAAGCCCTGAGGGCAGTAGCAGCCAGGGGTACACTCCTGTATCCCCGCACACAGCGCATTCTGCCCCTGCAGTGCACACTGCTTCTCACAGGGAGAGCCACACTCCGAGTACTGGAACGGCTTCTCACAAGAGTCTGGAAGAGAGAAGATCTCATGTCACACACACACACACACACACACACACACACACACACACACACACACACACACACACACACACACACACAGAGAAAACCCAAGCACACATACACACAAACCGAGAAAACCCACACATAGCATTACTATGTGGCCTCACCATGACAGTGGTCTAGTGTGCAGTTTCTGCTCTGGGTGTCCAGATGTGAACAGTGCTGTCCCTTGGTGGCTGGTGAGAGCGGTGCGCGGTGACGCTGCTGCCTCTGGGACACACAGCAGCAGGCGGACCACTCAGTCCACTCTGACATGGGGCACTCTGGACACACACACAACAGGGAAGAAGTCAAAGATGGAGAAAAGTATAGTGAAAGTATTGTCTAGCTAAGAGAGACTGCGATTGACTCTTTGGGTTTGTGTCCTAATGGTTTACTTTGTGGCAGAGGCTGGATAGCAGTATTTCCTGGTCAGACTAAGTAAATCAAGTTTTGGTTTGAATTATAATAATAATAATAATAATAATAATAATAATAATAATAATAATAATAATAATAATAATAACTACCAATAGACTTCAGATATTGTCTGAACAGACAGCACATAATATATTCTGCCATGCCATTATAGAATGAGCTTGGTATCTAGGAGTAGACATGAATACAGCCAGGGGATATTATTGAGGTCATGCTACCTGGACAGGGTCTCTTATAGCACAGCTGGGTCTCCTCTCTGTTCCTCTCCGCCTCTACCTCAGGGGGGCAGGCGCCCTCCTCCTCCCCTTCACACACACACACCCTGCGTCGCGACACCACCCCCGCACCGCAGCTGCGGGAGCAGGGGGACCATGGTGACCAGGGACAAAGGTCATCTGGAAACAGGAAATGTGTGGTTCAGAACAACAGTTAAAAACCAAAAGAGGGACAGAGGGATGAGAGGGAACCAGGTGGAAAACAGAAAGAGGGAGGGACAGAGTGATGAGAGAGAACCAGGTGTGTCCCTGTAGACCTGTAAGATTACAGTTTCTATACATGCAGAGTGCAGACCACTCCCTTTGGTTCAGAACAGAACCAGGTGGAATAGGTCCGTTTTTGGTAACACTTTCCTTGAGCCAGTTGAGTGTTATTCATTATGAATACATTTTAATGGTATAATCAATATGATACTTTGTCCAATTCTGTCAGATCTACATTAAGGGCCTAAGGAAAAGTGTTAGGGTTGGGTTTCTAATTGAGCCACAGTAGTCTGTGTTACCGAGGCAGGGAGGTGTGTGACAGCCTTGGGCCTCTCTCTCCGGTCCGCTGCAGTTTGTCCCGTTGTTACGGGGTGGAGGGTTGATACAGGCCCGGCTCCGAATTTGAGTGCCCCGCCCACACGTCACCGGACAGTCCGACCACACCGACCAGGGCGTCCAACCACCATCCACTGTCAACCACAAGAGGAGTGATTGGCAGGATACACAGCCAATCACAATACTTGGAATGCGATATATTGTTTTTATCATAAGTGAGAGGTATTCTCTCTGCAGTGATATGGTTGTATGTGTATTTTTGAATGATCAAATTTGATTTTGCAATCCATCAAAGAAGAACAATATTACATAACATTACATCAAATACATCAAATGTGCAGGTAGGTATAAGAACATATTTAACACACCTCGACAGTCAATATCTTGGCAATAGTCTCCCTCTGGGGTGCATGTACTGAGAGAAAAAACACGGAAAATGTTAGAATTCAAAATCAGTACAAAAATCTGTACCACTGTACCACTAATGCCCCTATAACACTCTATCATCAAGATATTTCATCATCTATATTTTAGTTCTACGACCTCACCATTGTTTACATTCTCCCTGCAGCCATGTGTCTCCCACGGTCAGCTCCTGGTTGTCATAGACACAGAGGGGTGGGCAGGGCCCGGGGTCACATGACTTGTGCTGCACCTCCTCAAACTGGCAAACCGCTCCTTCACGCTCTGGTATTAGAGATCTGATAGGACACACACACTCAATATCTGATATCCTGTGTATGTGTGTGTGTGTCTCTTTTCTTATTTTCTCACCTGAAGCGTGTTCTCTGGCCCAGCCCACAGGAAGTGCTGCAGGACGCCCAATTGGACCAGGAGCTCCAGGTGCAGCTGGCCTCTTGGCAGCTCTGATTGGTGCAGGAAAGCAGTCCGTCTGCGCAGCTGCAGTTGTTGCAGTCCACCTGGTGCCAGCTGCCTGCAGCCCAGCTCTGACCCAGAGAGTCCACACAGTCACACTGCCATACCTGCACACACACCCCGTCCTGCTGCAGCTGACCTGGAACATCACACACATTTATAGTGTTATTAGTAGATTTATACATGCAATGGAAGACATCTGATCTGTGTACAATACTTAATATAGCTCAGTATAATAGTTAATGTCAATTCATGACTAAAAGAACAGTTGACAGTGAAAATGTGACCAGTCACTAGCCTTTAGGGCAGCGGCACCCAGGCTGGCACTCTGTGTTGCCCTGGCACTGGATGCCCTGCTGGAGGTCTGAGCAGCGTTGAGGACACTCGTTGGCACAGGGCACAAACTCCTGACCCGCTGGGCAACCCTTCTCATCTGGGAGAGAGACAGATTTATGATAGTACAGCATGGCTAAGTATGGTTAAAAACACTTCTCCATCCATCCATCTTTTTTTTTTATCAGTCGGTGACTGAGGTGAGAGAGAGATACAGAGAGCGAGAGAGAGAGAGAGCAGAGAGAGAGAGAGAGAGAGAGAGAGAGAGAGAGAGAGAGAGAGAGAGATCGGTCTTACCACAGGGTTTGGTGTTGCAGGGTTTCACCTGGTTCTTCTCTCCCTCACACTTGCGCCCACCATTTTTGGGCGGGGGGCTGAAGCAGGAGCGGGTTCGGATGGAACGCCCGCCCCCACAGCGCTTGTCACAGCGAGACCAGGGGCTCCAGCGAGACCAGCCTCCGTCCACTGACACACAGAGAGAGGGTCCTTTAAATATGCCTCTACTCTGGGGCACAAAATCAACCCTAGACCCTGTGCTTATCTATCAAATGCTTTCAGATATATGAGTGACTATTAAGAAGTGATTCATTTCCACACATTCATATCAGATGAAATAAGTTTGGAATGGCAAAACATTTTAGTGGACAGTACATAATTGCAATTCAACCCCTGTTAACGAACACAAACAGCATGTACAGTAGCTGTGTCTATAACAGTGTCGGTCCACCAACCTCGACAGGCCTTTATGTTACAGAAGCGATTCTCCAGGTTACCCCCAAGGATGTCATCACACCAGGAACCATTGACCCCGGGGGTCAGGAAGGTGCGTAACCTCTGCTGCTGACCCACGCCGCAGGAGCGCGAGCACGCCACCCACTCGCCCCACTCCATCCACGTGCAGTTCCTCTGGGCACAGTCATCCCCCACACACACCCCACCGCCATCTGGTAACACACACAGCAAAAGACAGACATACATGATAGTGAGGACTGTTGTATTTCAATATAAGGGACACTGCTAACATGAATGAGATTAAGAAGGAGCACTTAGGCCTGCAGCATAATTTACATTATACATCCATGCCACAGGAGGTTGGTGGCACCTTAATTGGGGGGAACGGGCTCATGGGAATGGCTGGAGTGGAATTAGTGGAATGGTATCAAATACATCAAACACATGGTTTCCAGACATTATTATGAGCCGTCATCCCCTCAGCAGCCTCCACTGATCCATGCTTAAAATGTTTGTATTTTTTCACTTCCCTACTGTACTGAAAAAGGACACATTCAACCCAAGAGAAAATACACATAGGGCTACTGCATTAGAGCATATCTGAGGGAACAGTAGCTGGACATCAGGATATGGGGTTGGGGAAGAAAGGGGACATTACCAGGACACTGGGGCAGGTTGCAGGCCTTCTCCTGATGGGTGTCCCCTGAGCAGGGGGGTCTGACACAGCGCCTCTGACGGGACTTGAGGGCCGGGGTCAGGGAATCGCTACACGACCGAGAGCAGGTGGTCCATGACGACCACTGAGAGAAGCCTGCATTCTCATCTACAGGGAGGAGGGATAGTGGGAGGGAGGGAGGGAGATCAATTGAGCCTTAACAAGTCTTTATTGTACAATTAAGGAGTTCATAGAACAGAATAGTTCATACTGTAGATAGAAGTGAGAGCGAGAGAGTGGGGAGCTTCAATAGTGAGACAGACAGAGGTCTCTAGAGTAAGGAAGCCCTGTGGTGTGTGGAGTGTTGAATTACCTGGTAGAGACGGCTCTTCTGTGGGGCCGATGATCACTGTAAAAAGGATTACACAACATATAAGTTAATGTCATATTTTAGTATATTTCTTACATGATGGTATTACATTCCTGGAGAGTACAGTTCAGTACCTGGGCAGTCCGGAGCCTGACAGTAGGTGCTCTCTTGCCGGGGCCCCAGGCAGTCTCTGCCCCCGTAGGCTGGGGCTGGGTGGCTGCAGGTTCGGGTGCGGGTTTTTAGGCCCAGGCCCCCACAGGACAGGGAGCAGGGGCTCCAGGGGCCCCAGGGGGACAGACCCCCGTCTATAGGGCACGGTTCCAAGGAACAGTTCCACAAACCATGTTGACACTCGCTACAGGCAGACAGGAGGGTAAAAAAATAACATTTACATACATTTTACATTTTAGTCATTTAGCAGACGCTCTTATCCAGAGCGACTTACAGTTAGTTCGTTTTTTTATTTTTTTTATTTTTTATCTTTCATACCCCCCGTGGGAATCGAACCCACAACCCTGGCGTTGCAAACGCCATGCTCTACCAACTGAGCTACATCCCTGCCGGTCATTCCCTCCCCTACTTTGGACGACGCTGGGCCAATTGTGCGCCGCCACATGGGTCTCCCGGTCGCGACCGGCTACGACAGAGCCTGGATTCGAACCAGGATCTCTAGTGGCACAGGTAGCACTGCTATGCAGTGCCTTAGACCACTGCGCCACTCGGGAGAACCTATAAGTTAGGTAAGTGCTGTGAATAGTTCAACTAGGCCTGTAACTATGTATGTATATATATATATATATATACAACTTGAACTTTTACACATTTTGTTGTGTTACAGTCTGAATTTAAAATGGACTAAATTGAGATTTTTTGTCACTGCCCTACACACAATACCCCATCAAGTCAAAGTGGAACTATTTTTTTTTTACACATTCAACCACAAGGACCAGTGAGGTTTACCAATGCCTCGCAAAGAAGGGCACCTATTGGTAGATGTGTAAAACATTTAAAAAGCAGACATTAAATATCCCTTTGAGCATGGTGAAGTTGTAAATTACACTTTGGATGGTGTATCAATACACCCAGTCATTACAAAGATACAGGCGTCCTTCCTAACTCAGTTGCTGGAGAGGAATGAAACCGCTCAGGGATTTCACCATGAGGCCAATGGTTACTTTCAAACAGTTAAAGAGTTTAATGGCTGTGATAGGATAAAACAACAACATTGTAGTTACTCCACAATACTAACCTAAATGACAGAGTGAAAAGAAGGAAGCCTCTACAGAATAAACATGCATCCTGTTTGCAACAAGGCACTGCAAAAAATGAAATTAACTTTATGTCCTTGTCACACCCTGATCTGTTTCACCTGTCTTGTGCTTGTCTCCACCCCCCCACCAGGTGTCTCCCATTTGTCCTCATTATCCCCTGTGTATTTATACCTGTGCTTTCTGTTTGTCTGTTGCCAGTTCGTCAAGTCCTACCAGCGTGTTCCCGTGTTTCCTGTGCTCTAGTTTGTTTTTCTTAGTCTTCCCGACCCTTTGCCTGTCTTTGTCAGGCGTGCGGCAGGTGTAATAGTGGAATCAAACGCAGGACTCAGAACGATATTCCCAAAGGCTTGTATTTTAGGCCAAACCAAGGCACATAGAAACTTTGCCCGGAGGCAACAATTACGCACGAAGGCGAAAAGAAACTGCGCACAAAACAGGTGCGACAAAATAGTAACCGCGCACAAACAGGTGCGACCAAATAGTAACCACGCACAAACAGGTGCGGAAATACTCCAGTATAATGGAGAGAAGCTCAACCGAGCAACACACACAACTGACGGAAAATCAATTACACACAACACTGGACAAACACAACGAGAAACATATAGGACACTCATTACGCCAAAACAGAAACAGGTGTGAAAACAAACAGACCAAAGCAAACGAACAAGAAACAAACAGCGGTGGCAGCTAGAATTCCGGAGACGACGAACGCCGAAACCTGCCCGAACAAGGGAGAGAGGCAGCCTCGGCCGAAACCGTGACAGTCTTGACCTACCGATTACCTGCCGTTCTGTACCTGCCTGACTCTGATTTGGCTGTGCCGGTCTAGACACCTTAATCCTGCCATAAATTAGAGAGGAGGAGAATATATATCTGGCACTCTAGTATGGTGAAAGGAATGCCTTTGTTTCAGATACTTTTTGCCGCCCAAAAACTTCAACATCCAACAATGAACACTGGGACAATATATTTCAACATCCAAACGTTGGGAATGATGAGAAATGGAATATGGAAAATTAATGTCTATTTTGTGATGTCATAAAAAATTGTATAAAGGCGTTATAACAAAAACATTGTGACTTGAAGAGCTTTTACACTGTGTATATCAGGCTTACATCCTTTACCTTGGGTAGAAAATATCAAGGAGGAAGACAATATTTTCCTGAAGATAGGAATGCGATTTTAGCTTTCTAACAAAATCATAGTGATGATAATACTTTTGCCTCGTAACTAGCCACGCCCGAGGGAGCTCAGAGAGCGTGTCAGTATGATGGAAATGCCCCTCTTTACCAGAGTGCATAAAAGATTGAGATATGAATGATCAGATCAGACTAGACAGACCTCAAGCTGCAGCTTTTGTCCATATTGGTCCCGACCCTGAAAATCAACACGAGGTGAAGACAACAAAGTTGCCTCCACTAACAATCAATGTTACGGCTGAGTAGCTGTTCTATGTACTGTATCTAAGAAGGTGAATTTAAGTGGGACCATCCTGTTACTCTCTTCAAGCCATCGTCTACTACACTGCTCTCATCATCCCACAGGGGATCATCGACACGGCTGATTAACCGTCCTCAGAAGACCACTTCCAGAACGAGTGAAAGTAAACAGACAACTAAGAAGAAGGTCATTGTGACCTCTTGTCAATCTGAGCCTTACATCTAAAAGGCCATCCGAAAGAGAAGGCCCAATCGACCCCTTCACATGAAGGCCTGGATCCAACAGAGATACATGACGAAGACCTCCAACACGTAAATACATGCATTGCTTTTCTTCCCAAACGGGCGGCAGTTTGGGGCAGAGTATTAGGATTACTGTGTGCGTAGATCCATGTGTATCCAAGTGTTTTCTCTCTCTCTCTCTCTTTAACTCGCAATCTATTGTAACAAGTGTCATATTGTGGTAGTACGCTAGGGACCCATTTTCATTGTATTAAGTTTATAATCCCTACCTATACCGTGTACGTGTTTGTATCTTGTGTTATCATTTTTAATTAGTTAGTAAATAAATAATTAAATCAATTTGTGTGGTATGGAATGATCAGTAAGACCCGGGTTCGTGCAGACTTAAAGAGCCTACGGCTTTCAGAATGAGACTGATATGAGGTAAATTATTACTAAATGACTGTTAAATGATAAGAGATATCTAGATATCTTTAGAGTTAATTTGGGAAACGGTAACTCGTTAAACAACTTTTCCCGTGGTGCCCCAAATTCCTAATGAGTTAATTGTTACATGATTCATTTAATCTAGTAACAATTAAACATAGTAGGTAATTATTCGATATAATAGTCATCACAATAATGAAAGTCACGTTATGACACCTCTCAGTCCCATTGTGTGCCACAAGGGTTCAAGCTATATTGTAAACCAAACATTCATAGCACCTGATGTGGGAGTAACAGTGCACTCTAAAAACAACAAATAGCTTTTAAAGAACATATTTGTGCTTATTTGTGTGATGTGGTGTATCTCTCTCACCCACCAGACACTGCAGTCGTATATGAACGTTTCCCCAGACTGGAACGCGTCCCCCTGGGTTAGGTTATGGTGGGCCAACACTGGGGTCACAGAAACATTCTGTAGTGAGGTCAGGAGCTCCTTGTCCACCAGGCAGGGGCACTCCTAAACATGAAACACAGTGCTTGGTTTACTAGCTCCCTTATTCAATATACATTAAGTAACTGTTTATTCATGTGGAATACATATAAAGTAACTGTTTATTCATGTGGAATACATATAAAGTAACTGTTTATTAATGTAGAATACATGTGAAGTAACTGTTTATTCATGTGGAATACATATGAAGTAACTGTTTATTTGTGTGGAATACATATGAAGTAACAGTTTTTTCGTGTGGAATACACTTGTTATAACCTTTTACTTATCAGAAAAACACTAACATAAAGTTTTCATTCATTCGAAATACGCTTGAAATAACCGTTTATTCATATGAAATTCTCATGAAGTAACCTTTCATTCATCTGAAATACACATTAAATAACCACTGTAGCTGACCTGTACACAGGCTCTGTTGTGCTGGAAGGTCTGCAAGGGGCAGTGGCACCCCTCCTCGCAGCCCTCAGAGTAGCAGCCCTCTCGCCCACTGACCTGGGCACAACTGAAGGGGCATCCCTCGCCCCGCACACACTCCCTGTACAGACGACCCGGGGGGCAACCCACCTCTGGTACCAAGGCAGAGGTTTGGGTAAGATGGGCAGACAGGAGAGCAATGATCAATGTGTGCGTAGAGTTTCATTGTGAAATACTTGTATATACACTGCTCAAAAAAATAAAGGGAACACTAAAATAACACATCCTAGATCTGAATGAATGAAATAATCTTATTAAATACTTTTTTCTTTACATAGTTGAATGTGCTGACAACAAAATCACACAAAAATTATCAACGAAAATCAAATTTATCAACCCATGGAGGTCTGGATTTGGAGTCACCCTCAAAATTAAAGTGGAAAACCACACTACAGGCTGATCCAACTTTGATGTAATGTCATTAAAACAAGTCAAAATGAGGCTCAGTAGTGTGTGTGGCCTCCACGTGCCTGTATGACCTCCCTACAACGCCTGGGCATGCTCCTGATGAGGTGGCGGATGGTCTCCTGAGGGATCTCCTCCCAGACCTGGACTAAAGCATCTGATGTCCCAGATGTGCTCAATTGGATTCAGGTCTGGGGAACGGGCGGGCCAGTCCATGGCATCAATGCCTTCCTCTTGCAGGAACTGCTGACACACTCCAGCCACATGAGGTCTAGCATTGTCTTGCATTAGGAGGAACCCAGGGCCAACAGCACCAGCATATGGTCTCACAAGGAGTCTGAGGATCTCATCTCGGTACCTAATGGCAGTCAGGCTACCTCTGGCGAGCACATGGAGGGCTGTGCGGCCCCCCAAAGAAATGCCACCCCACACCATGACTGACCCACCGCCAAACCGGTCATGCTGGAGGATGTTGCAGGCAGCAGAACGTTCTCCACGGCGTCTCCAGACTCTGTCACGTCTGTCACGTGCTCAGTGTGAACCTGCTTTCATCTGTGAAGAGCACAGGGCGCTAGTGGCGAATTTGCCAATCTTGGTGTTCTCTGGCAAATGCCAAACGTCCTGCACGGTGTTGGGCTGTAAGCACAACCCCCACCTGTGGACGTCGGGCCCTTATACCACCCTCATGGAGTCTGTTTCTGACCGTTTGAGCAGACACATGCACATTTGTGGCCTGCTGGAGGTCATTTTGCAAGGCTCTGGCAGTGCTCCTCCTGCTCCTCCTTGCACAAAGGCGGAGGTAGCAGTCCTGCTGCTGGGTTGTTGCCCTCCTACGGCCTCCTCCACGTCTCCTGATGTACTGGCCTGTCTCCTGGTAGCGCCTCCATGCTCTGGACACTACGCTGACAGACACAGCAAACCTTCTTGCCACAGCTCGTATTGATGTGCCATCCTGGATGAGCTGCACTACCTGAGCCACTTGTGTGGGTTGTAGACTCCGTCTCATGCTACCACTAGAGTGAAAGCACCGCCAGCATTCAAAAGTGACCAAAACATCAGCCAGGAAGCATAGGAACTGAGAAGTGGTCTGTGGTCACCACCTACAAAACCAGTCCTTTATTGGGGGTGTCTTGCTAATTGCCTATAATTTCCACCTGTTGTCTATTCCATTTGCACAACAGCATGTGACATTTATTGTCAATCAGTGTTGCTTCCTAAGTGGACAGTTTGATTTCACAGAAGTGTGATTGACTTGGAGTTACATTGTGTTGTTTAAGTGTTCCCTTTATATTTTTGAGCAGTGTAGTATAAAAATATTTTTTCTAAAATACAAAATTAATCACTATTACTGATACTACCTTTACTACAACAACTACTTCTGTCTAGTACCTCTACTCCCACCTTGGATATAGTTACTACTATTAGTAATACCACTACTATTTTCACCACTACTATTGTAAATGTGGAGAGAAATGTTCTATTCGTCCCGGCAGCAAATCTTTTTCCATTCAACAGATTGACTCTGACTCAGTCCGAGCTGGAACGAGAGGCTCAATTCTCAGAGGACTATCACTCATAGTAACGACACACAGAACCCAAAAATAGCCCCAATGAGGAGACAGAAGGGGAAGCCAGAGTGAAAAATGAAGACTACTCCACCGCCGCCGAGCTATTTCACTTTAAGAGGCATTTCACTTCAACGCTGCATTTCCTGGCGTTACTATGTAGTTATCCTTCACTCTGGCACCACATGTTGGTCATATTAGTGATTGACTGCGTCTGAAATGGCATCCTATTCCGTATATAGAGCACTACTTTTGACCAGAGTCCTATGGGCCAAGGTCAAAAGTAGTACACTATAAACATAGGGAATAGGGTGCCATTTCAGACACAGCCATTTACTTCCATTGGCTCTGGGTAGTGGATGAATGAACGCAAGCAGGAAGTATAACTCAAACAAAATGTTGCGGCATGGCCCAAAACACCTTCACACCTTGCAAGGCCCTGTGGTCCTACAATGGGTAGTCATCGGGGGTGTGAGTCTAAATGACACAGTGCCATCTAATTGGCTGCTCCCTGAGCTACTGTGCACCTTACCACAAAAAACACTGAGCTATCTACTACAGGTACAGTACATGGACTCTACAGGGACAAGGATTCTTACACTGGGTGCCAGTGGTAGCTGCAGCAAGGGAATTTGAACTGTATTTTATCTCACGGTCTGCTATTTATCGGGGAATCGAACCCACAACCCTGGCGTTACTAGCACCACGCGACCAGGCTCTTACCAACTGAACCACACAGGAACACGTGTAACATCTACATGTACTCACCGAGACAGACCTGTGTGTTACAGGTCTTGCTCTGCCTCCTCATGCCAGAGCAGGGCGGGAAGCTGCAGAGACGGGTACGAGACTGTTCCCCTCCTCCACAGCTCACTGAGCACACAGACCAGGGGGACCAGGGGGACCAGGTCAGAAAGTGACCAGAGTCTGGATGAGGGCACAACACCAGAGAGGGGACATCAGGTACCATGGTATTTTGGAGGTAGTAAGGTAGTATCAAGTACATTACTGTATGCCAAGAAATATGTCTTGGGGGGGTTGTATATAATGCAATCTGTTCAAAGGTAGTGTATGCATCATCACCATTCAACATTGTGTGGGTGAAGTCTACTATGATATGTAATGTTACGTTTCCACCAAGTCTGTCCCAGTGTGTACCTGTACAGGTGTGGTTGTTGCACTCTCTCTGCTGTTCAGCCATGCCCGCACAGCCCCTCCCCCCACTCTGAGGAGCGGGGTTATCACACTGACGCACGCGGAGCTTGACTCCACCCCCGCAGGGGGCCGAGCACTCTGACCAGCCTCCCCATTGGCTCCAGCCACCGTCGACATGGCAACCAGGGACTGATTGACAGTGGAGAACACCCGCCTCACAGGTGCTGCGGGATAGGGGAGAGAAAGAAGATTGTGAATACATTCCGAGGCCTGTATTACAAAAACTGTATTGATAATATATGCTATGCTACCGGTGGGGAAACATGAGGTTGTGTACTGTACCAGTTTTTACAGTCAGCGATGATGGCCTCTCCTGGATTTGCGAACTGCCAATCTGACCTACCAGGCCACACCCACGAGGTGTTACTAGAGTCTAACCCACCTGGATAGAGAGAGAGAGAGAGAGAGAGAGAGAGAGAGAGAGAGAGAGAGAGAGAGAGAGAGAGAGAGAGAGAGAGAGAGAGAGAGAGAGAGAGAGAGAGAGAGAGAGAAGAGAGAGAAAGAGAGAAAGAGAGAGACTCAAAATGTTTGATGACCTCGCTGCAGCTTAGTATAGCATTAGGAGTTGAGAAAAACAATAGGAGTAGTAGGACAGTAATTACCAATGAAGTTGTGTTAAAAACATGTTGTCTAGGTAAGTGTTCTCCATTGGTCTCACCAGTAGTGCTGTTGTGGTATTTACAGCGACATTCCTCCCTCTCCACACACTGGCCGTCCTGTAGCACCAGATCACCCGAGCAACCACAGGTCATACTGCACTCCACAGAGTCCAGACACTCTGTGTCGCCATGGAGATCAGAGCAGGAGCGTGGACAGGGCTTCCCACATGGCCAGTCCACCTGCACCCTGCCACAGTCTGAAAGAGAGGAGCATCATGGGAGTAAACAGAGATCAAAACAACAATATTCCTTACTACAGCAGGATTTGAGTGAAATTCAATCCAATCATAACATCCAAGTCACTTTGAATCAAGTATTTGAAATGACATTTTTGTAACATGTCCGTACTTTGGCACAGTCAAAATGTCACCCATGATGTCATCAGCTGACCTGAGCAGACGGTGATGTTGTCATGGCAGCCGCGGCTCTGCCGGCTCTCCCCTTGGCAGGGCAGACCCCCAAACCTGGCAGGAGGACTGTTACACTCCCTGGTCCTCACAGACACCCCCTCACAGCCATCACACTCTGACCAGCCCGACCACAGGCTCCACGAACCATGGACTGATCGAGAGAGAGACAGAGAGAGGGGGTGGAAATAAATAGACAAAAGAGGGGGAGGGGCCAGAATTGACAAGTGGGGTGAGAGAGGTAGAGGAACAGAAAAGAAAGGTGACAGAGAGAAAAGGTGAGACAGGAGGAGGTAGAGAAGGCAAAATCCATGCCATTACACTAACCACATACTATAATGTTGTCTACCTATAAGTCACAAACCCTTTGACGTGAGTACTATGTTGTTACCTGGGCAGAAGGTGACCACAGGGCAGGGATGCCTCTGGATCTGTACTCCCACCCCACCGTGCACTTCCTGTTCCCCTTGGCAGGGGGCTCCTCCCGCCTTGGGCTCTGGACAGCCACAGCTGCGATATCTGGACACCCACTCTGCCCCACACGTCTTAGAACAGTGGGTCCAGCCAGACCACTCACACCACCCACCTGACACTATCCACCAGGGGAGAGGGGGTGGGGGAGACTCAGGATGGATCAGACATACATGTGAGTCCATGTGCTTTTGGTGATATACTGTATATATTGAATGTGAATGGAAACTGGGTATTCAGACTGTACCTATTACTTACCTGGACAGGGGTCACTGGTGCAGTTGAGCCTCCCTCCCTCGCAGGTGCTGAAACACAAATGACATCAATAACAACCTAATACACGCACAAACACAAGCAAGCACACACACACACCACCACTACTTTTAGCCTACCGCAATCTATGTCACACCATTGAAGCTTCAATATACACATATCAAAAGACAACATGACAAAGCTCCCCTCTTCCCAATCTCTCCCCCTCCTCTCCTCTCTCTCTCACCAGTTGTTGCAGCTGTCGGGGGCAGTGGTGCTCTCTCCAGGGTACAATCTCAGGCCGGTGTTGAGGTCCAGACAGGGGCACTTTTCTCTCTCAACACAGGATGTCCCGTTGGAAGACAGCACCTTGCCCTCCGTGCAGTAACACCCAGCCTCACAGAGCCACTCACAGTGCTGCACAGGGGGGCAGGGGGTATAGGGGGTGATATAGGTGGGATATAGGGGATATCGGGGGGATATGGGGGGAGGGGGATATAGGGGAGGGGGGATATGGGGGGGAGGGGGATATAGGGGAGGGGGGATATGGGGGGGTGTAGCATTATTTGTGTTCCCATAATCTGCAGCAGCAGCAGCAATAGAAGTATCAGCATAATCATCATTATAATACCTATCAACATAATCATCATTATAATACCTATCAACATAATCATCATTATAATACCTATCAACATAATCATAATTATAATACTTATCAACATAATCATCATTATAATACTTATCAGCATAATCATCATTATAATACCTATCAACATAATCATCATGGGGCGGCAGGTAGCTTAGTGGGTAAGAGCGTTGTGCCAGTAACCGAAAGGTTGCTGGTTCTAATCCCCGAGCTGACTAGGTGAAAAAAATCTGTCGATGTGCCCTTGAGCAAGGCACTTAACCCTAATTGCTCCTGTAAGTCGCTCTGGATAAGAGCGTCTGCTAAATGACAAAAAAAAAAAAAAAAAAAAAAATCATCTTCATCATCATAACTATTGCTATCATAATGATCATCACCAGCACCATACTCATCCTCGTGCAAAGTTAACAAAGGAGTCAGCAAAATGCCTACGTCTTACTGACAGAGCCAGAAGCTGTGTGTATAGATAATGACAGAGCCAGACGCTGTGTGTATAGATAATGACAGAGCCAGAAGCTGTGTGTATAGATAATGACAGAGCCAGAAGCTGTGTGTATAGATAATGACAGAGCCAGAAGCTGTGTGTATAGATAATGACAGAGCCAGAAGCTGTGTGTATAGATAATGACAGAGCCAGAAGCTGTGTGTATAGATAATGACAGCGCCAGAAGCTGTGTGAATAGATAATGACAGAGCCAGAAGCTGTGTGTATAGATAATGACAGAGCCAGAAGCTGTGTGTATAGATATTGACAGAGCCAGAAGCTGTGTGTATAGATATTGACAGAGCCAGAAGCTGTGTGTATAGATATTGACAGAGCCAGAAGCTGTGTGTATAGATATTGACAGAACCAGAAGCTGTGTGTATAGATATTGACAGAGCCAGAAGCTGTGTGTATAGATATTGACAGAGCCAGAAGCTGTGTGTATAGATAATGTCTATGGAAAATAGAAACAATTTGTGACACTCACAGACAGGTCATCACAGGAGCGAGGACACGAGGGGCCACAGCTACTGAACACTGTCCCAGGGACCTGAGAGCAAGGCGCAACTGAAAACACACACAGTGTCAGTCATATAAACACACATGGACACACACACGAACACACGCACACACACACACACAGTCTCTTTCTCCACATTGCAGTCCACTAGATGGCGGTACTGTACATTAGCTGGAATTGCCAACCACCATAGAACCCCAAAGAAGAATCCAGAAACGAAACTGTCCTGAATGAGGAAATACAGAACAACAGTAGCAGTTCTCCGTGGATCTCTCATTTAGTGTGGAAAAGAAACTTTCAGTGCTGTTAAATAATATACGCGTGACAAATAGAAAGTCTGAAGAGAATAACAAAAGAGTGTATGATAGGGGAAACTTTCTAAGTGCTGCTGTTGACTTCACTCTTCATTTTAAGTAAGTGAAAGTTAACATATCTGGTCAAAGGCAATTCCAGAGGAGGGTGAGAGAAAATGGCTGCTAAATCGTCTCTCCTAGAGGAGAATCTCTGCTGTCCTGTGTGCTGTGACATCTTCAAGGATCCTGTCATCCTGTCATGTAGCCACAGCTATTGTAATGAATGCCTACAGGAATATTGGAGACAAAGAAAAGTGAATGAATGTCCCGTATGCAGGAAAAGATTTGGCTCAGGAGCAGCTCACCGTAACCTGGCGCTGAGAAACCTGTGTGAATCCTTCTTACAGGAGAGAAGTCAGAAAGAGGAGGGGGGAGCTTCAGCAGGGTCTGAGGTGGTCTGCAGTCTGCACGGTGAGAAACTCAAGCTCTTCTGTGTAGAGGATAATCAGCCTGCATGTGTGGTGTGTCAGACTTCTAGAAAACACGCAAACCATAAGTTCTGTCCCGTGGATGAGGCTGCACAGAACTACAAGGAGGAACTTACGTCTGTGCTGAAGGTCTTACAGGAGAAGCTGAAGGTCTTTGATGCAGTGAAACTAACTTGCGATAAAACAGAACAGCACATCAGAAGCCAGGCCCAGCACACAGAAAAACAGATCATGGAGGAATTTAAAATACTTCACCAGTTCTTAAGAGATGAAAGGGTAGTCAGGATTGCTGCACTGAAGGAGGAAGAGGAGAGGAAGAGTCGGATGATGAAGAGGAACATTGAAGAGATGAGCAGAGAGATATCATCCCTTTCAGACACAATCAGAGACATAAAGGTGGAGCTGAGAGGGGAAGACATAGCGTTTATACAGAATTACCAGGCTATAAAGAAAAGAGCTCTGGAGTGCACACCAATGGATCCAGAGAGGGTTTCAGGAGCGCTGATAGATGTGGCCAAATACCTGGGCAACCTGCAGTTCAGAGTCTGGGAGAAGATGCAGGAGATTATTCAGTTCACTCCTGTGACTCTAGACCCCAACACTGCTCACCCCCATCTCATCCTGTCTGACAACCTGATTAGTTTGAGACATAGTACGGAGACACTGCAGCTTCCTGACAACCCAGAGAGATTTGATAAGTACCGATCGGTTCTGGGTTCTGAGGGCTTTAACTCAGGGACACACAGCTGGGACGTTGAGGTTGGGGACAGTATCTTATGGTCTGTTGGTGTGGCCACAGAGTCTGACCAGTGGAAGGGGGCCACCGCCTTAAGGAGAGGACACTGGCATGTAGAAAATAACAAAGGAGTATATAAAGCTCGTTCCTCATCAGAGCAAAGCGTCCCTCTCTCAAATAGACTGAGACCCCAGAGGATCAGAGTGCAGCTGGACTGGGAAAGAGGAAAGCTGTCATTCTCTGACCCTGTTAATAACACCCACCTACACACATTTACACACAATTTCACCAAGAGAGTCTTTCCCTGCTTTTGTAGTAAACATCTGAGGATTTTACCAGAGAAAGTCTCTGTAGTGGTGGAACAGCATAGTTAGAGCTGATACCACCTCTGTCTGTAACAGTGGAACAGTAAAATGATGTGTCATTCCACAAATAGAGTGCCTTGGGTAGTGTAATTTCACCTACTTTTAACATTCTGTCATAAAGATCACATGTTTAATAAAAAAATATGTTTTACCATCTCAAATGACTATAAAAGTGGCACTTAACACAAACACAAACAAACACACACACACTCACATACATTCTGATTGCGTACCTGGACAGTGGTCAGTGTTGCAGGAGATGACTTCTGTGCCCAGCCCCTCACAGTAGTCCCCCTCTCCCTCTGGACTGGGGCTATCACAATCCCGGCGTCTGCTCTGAACACCCCCACCACATGACTTGGTGCAGTCTGTCCAGTTGCTCCACTCCCCCCAGCCACCATTACCTGTAAAGACCATGACACAACACAGGCTAAACCAAAGTAGCAACAAAAAAAAGGGTGAGTACTGTACAGGACTAATGCTCAATCAAATTATTATTCTACTCCAAAAACGGTTGTGTGCTGAATCGTCATAGATAATCCATAAAAAAATGTAAAAGCCACCACTTCAAATTATATAGTATGTGTCAATAATTCAGGGTAACACTTAATTTGGATAGTCCATCTGTAGATAGTCCATCTGTAAAGATTATCAGTAACATTTCAACTTACTATCTACTAACCCTAGCTCTAACCCTAACTTTAACCCTTATCCTAACCCTTATCCTAACCCTAAACTTAACCCTAGCCCTAACCCTTACCCTAACCCTTATTCTAAACCTAACCGTAACCTTAGCAAGCAGTTGCTTATCAACAGATAGTTTGTTGATCATATGACCATCTGTAGAGCATCTACAGATGAAAAATCCGGACTATCCAAATAAAGTGTAACCTAATTCAGTAATGTATTTATCATTCAAAGATATAAAGAGAGCACTTCATTAAGGCATTACTCACGATCACAGGGAGCAGTCATACACAGCTGGTCTTGGTGGTCAGGTCCGATACAGGGCAGACCACTCCCAGACCGCTGTGGACTAGAACAGAACCTGTAGCGGGACTGGAGACCTGGTCCACACCTCACTGAACACTGGCCCCAGGGGGTCCAGGAAGACCACTGACCGTCCACTGTGAGAGGGGGTGGTTATGGTTAGGTTTGGGTTAAAGCTAGGAACTGCAACAATAACCAAATACAAAGCAAATTGCGAGAAAAACTAATTTCTGTATCAAAACCAATTTCCCCCTTGTGGTTTCCTCCTACTTCTCTCTACTTTTTAGTAAGCCAATGCCCTACTCACCATTACAGCTGAGTTGAGTGCAGTTTACCAGCCTCCCAGAATCACATGTGCTGTGAAGGAGAGGAGAGAAACAGTCAGAGGTCTATTCAGGTTTAATATAATGAAATAGTTTCACGTACATACTATGTGATGCTATACTACTGTATACTACTGTATGCTACTGTATGCTTCTGTATACTACTGTATACTACTGTATAGGTGTATTACAACTCCCAATACCAGTTGTTGCAGTCCCTAGGTACGACATCTCCAGGTTCATACTGCTCCCCATCCACATCACAGCGACACTGAGACACCCACACACACTTGCCATCCTAAGGAAACAGAGAACGGTCCGTTTTCTCTTTGAGCTATTGCCCAGGCTTTAGCTCAGTGGGTTAACACAGTTTTGTGGCACGCAGAAGATCCAATGTTCAAGTCCAGTTTGCATGTGTGTGTGTGAGAGCATAGACAGAAAGACCTGCAGGACAGTGCCGTGTGGACACTGACAGCCCGGTGTACAATTCCTCTCATAATCCATACTGATGTCAGAGCAGGTGACCGGCCCCTCCACACACACCGTCCACACCTGTCCCCCAGGACAGCCCGTCCCATCACCTAACACAGATTGGATGAGATGACAACGCCTCAATCAATCAACCAATCAATCAATGCAATTTGGGGTGCAGTCAAAACTCATAGGAACATCAAGAAAGAAGCTCAGCAAAAACATGGCACCAAATTCAGCCTTCATAAAAAAAGGTATGTATTGCCACATACACCGGATAGGTGCAGTGAAATGTGTTGTTTTTCAGGGTCAGCCATAGTAGTACGGCACCGCTGGAGCATTAGGGTTAAGTGCCTTGCTCAAGGGCACGTCGACAGATATTTCACCTTGTCGGCTCGGGTATTCGAATCAGCGACCATTCGCTTCAACGCTGTAACCACTAGGCTACCTGCTGCCCCAGATCAAGTGTGAAAGACCATCGCATAGCTGCGTAGATATATACAGCATAGTTCCAGTATATAGTCGCTTCTGGGAACATTTTAGTGTGTCTGTAGGTCTTTTTGGTATGCCTATCTATGATCTTGAATCAATAAGGGTACTCAAGGTGGCCTGGTCTGCTTCAGAGAGAGATGTTGCACTCGGTGTCAGCATCAAGAGAAAGAAAGGAATACATGAATATCCAAATATAACATCCTCAAAGCTCATAAGACATGGTCATACTGTAAGTCAGAGTTGGAGATCAGAGCCTGGTTACTCCTTCCCGCTCTCTCTGTACTCACCACAGGGCTGCAGGTTACAGGCAGAGAACTGCTGGGCAGTACCATGGGTTCTTTGGGGTCCCCGTGTCCTGTTCCTGTACCCCCCTCCACACGTCACCGAACACTCTGACCATACACTCCATGGCTCCTTCACACCTGGCATAGGCACACACACACACACACACACACACACACACACACACACACACACACACACACACACACACACACACACACACACACACACACACACATTGATGTAGACATTGTGGGTGAGACATTTCCAGCATAAGTATAGGTATGTGGACCAGTGGCCATACAATATGCAATATTCACATCATCTCTCTGAATTATTTCTATTGCACCATCACCGTCGTAACCCATGTGGGATTTAGATCTACTGTATGTCATTCCTACTCATTCTATTTATATTGTATATTGTAATGAGATTGTAACAAGAAAACAAGAAAACACCTGTAGGAGCCATTGAAATGAACCAGCCTATTGTAGGAGTGTAACGATGGTGTCTGTCTGTCACCTCCCCTACCCTGACAGGGCTCCAGACTGCAGGTGTCCATCCCCACCCTGTCGCCCCTGCAGACACGCCCCCCGAACGCAGCCGGTGGATTGGTCCCCGAGCGGTACCGCCTCCTCACGCCCACGTCACACGTCCTGCTGCAGGCGCTCCACTGGGTCCAGCTGCTCCAGCCACAGTCCACTGAGAAAGAGAGACACAGAGAGAGAGAGAGAGAGAGAGAGAGAGAGAGACAGAGAGAGAGAGGTTGACAGTCTCTCTTGATTGTTTGGGGTGCCGGCTTCAATCCGACCAGGGCCGCACTTTCCTGAGGAATACTGAGTGAACATATTTGATGAAATTCATCATCAACAATATGTCATGAGTAGGCTGCATTGTACCACACTCACCAGCGCAGGGCGCTGTTTCACAGATCATCTCTCCATTATGGCAGGTGCTAAGGACAAAAGAAAAAAAAGGATGCATAGATGGAATTCCCACAGGGTTTTTAAAACTTTCTCTGAATACCTGCTGCCCTCAACTACTGAAAAAGGCCCAATACTATACTTTTTCATATTTTTTTCATTTTAAATAACATTATTTTTTAGTTTATTCTAAGGCAGTACCAGTTGTTGCAATCGTCCAGTTTCACACCAGCTCCTCCTGGGTACATCTCTCCCTGGTAGTAGCATGGGCACTGGGTGAGGGGCACACAAGTGCTGTTGAGCAGGTAGAGTCCCAGGGCACAGTAGCATCCGTCGTAACACTCCGTGGCACACTCCACCTCTGTTGTCATGTCCATACACACCCGTGGGCACGCACCACCGTGAGCCTGGCACTGCTCCTTGCTCATGTAGGCCATGCCCTCTGGACACACTCCTATATGTATAATGCAACACAGATAGTGGGACACACACCAATGCGATGCGATTTAATCTGTCAAATTATTTTACCACTTTACATTAAGTTCCACAGATAATATGTAGTAAACTTAACACATGTTACTGTTTACCTGACCAGGTAAAACTAGGTGCACTAGTAGTAAAAGCCTTGTTATGATGAATTCCAGAATGTGTGTATATGATTCCATAATGTGTGTATGATTCCATAATGTGTGTATATGATTCCATAATGTGTGTATGATTCCATAATGTGTGTTTGATTCCAGAATGTGTGTTTGATTCCAGAATGTGTGTATGATTCCAGTTAATTACCTGAACAGGGGTGGGAGTTGCAGTCTCGGGTCTGGATGTGAGGCCCTGGGCAGGTGCTGCCCCTGTGCTGTGGAGGAGGGGAACTGCAGAAGCGCTCTCTGGTCTGAGCCCCCGAGTCACACTCTGACGAGCACGGGGACCATGGGGACCACTCCGACCAGCCGCCATTCACTGGGGAGGAGGGGGAGACAGGGGGGGGGGGGGGGGGGGGGGGGTTGTATCTCAATAGTGTAACGTTTTATCCTACCTTTCATCTACACTGATCTGAGAAAGCAATATGGTGGATGCAGGACAAAACATAAAGTGTGAGTGTGGAGGATGTACCTGGGCAGTGCACGGTGTTACAGGGCTCCTGTTCCTCTGCGTCTCCCTCACAGTCGGTGTGTGTGTAGCTGTGTATGTTGGTGTGTGTGTAGGTGTGTGTGTTTGTGGGTGTGTTACAGGTGCGGAACCTCCTCCTCAGCCCAACCTCGTCCACGTGGTGGAAACAGGTCTTACTGCACTCTGACCAGGCCGTCCACTCCCCCCACACCGCCTCATCCTTACCAGGGGGACAGGGGGTGAAGCACTGACGAGCCTCTGAGGAGTCCCCAGGACAGGGCTGGACTCTCACCACTCCTGCTGGGCTCACAGGGGACCTGGGAGAGGGGACAGGGAACAGGGGATAGAGGAAAGATGACAGAGGACAGGGGATAGGGGATAGGGGACAGGGACAGGGGGCAGGGGATGGGGACAGGGGACAAAGGATAGGGGACAGATGACAGAGGACAGTGGATAGGGGACAGGGGACAGAGGACAGAGGATAGGGGACAGATGACAGAGGAGAGGCGACAGAGGACAGAGGAGAGGGGACAGGGAACAGATGACAGAGGACAGGGGACAGGGACAGAAAGCCATCAGAGACACATGATGAGCCACACAATGGTTTATGTGTCACTGTTGATGGGATGCTGGTGAGGTGAACCCACCTATAGCGCTGCTGTAGTCCCACCCCACAGGAGCTGTCACATGATGTCCAGGAGGACCACGCTGACCAATCACAGCTGGCCACACAGCTGGAGTTGTCACAGGAGACACGGCCTTCTTCACACACACTGGTAGAGAGGGAGAGAAGAAGAGGGACAACATGTAGCAACATGACATAACAACGACAACACAACGCAACAAAACTATTGACTGTAAGCTCAGGAATGATGTGGGTTGTAGGCAGGCTTGGTGTTGTGTGTGTGTGTGTGGTGTGCGTCTCACCATGTGCTGCAGTTGTCCTTGCTGACCTCTTGTCCAGGCTGCAGTGCCAGTCCCTCCCAGTGGCACACACACTGACTGGCGTTCACACAGCGCCCATCCTGTAGGAACAAACCAGCCGGACAGCGACAACCTGGGTAGAGAGACAGAAGAGCGTTAACTACAGACAGACACACACATGAATGCTTACACACACACACACTGCATATACCCATGTATGTATGCACGAGCACGCACGCACATACACACACACACACACACACACCACGTAATACCTGTGATGCATTGGGAGGTGCAGTTGGGGTAGTGTAGGTGTGAACAGGTGGGGGGACATGGCTCCACTCTACCAGACTGGCAGTCTGCCTCTCTTACCACCACCATGCCTTTAGTACAGCCTAGACAGCAAGCAATTGACATGATAAGTTTCACTATTATCAGTAACAATTTAATGGGAAATTGCCCATTCAATTGTGTGTGCCACAGAATTCATATTGTTTTTATAGAATGTTACAAACCTACCATAGTCCAAGACAACATGATCAAACCATAAGACAACATGATCAAACCATAAGACAACATGATCAAACCATAAGACAACATGATCAAACCATAAGACAACATGATCAAACCATAAGGCAACATGATCAAACCATAAGACAACATGATCAAACCATAAGACAACATGATCAAACCATAAGGCAACATGATCATCTGTACACTCTTAGAAAAAAAGGTGCTATCTAGAACCAATAAGGGTTATTTGGCTGTCCCCATAGGAGAACCTTTTGAATAAACCTTTTGGTTCCAGGTCGAACCCTTTTGGGTTCCATGCAGAACCCTTCCCACAGAGGGTTCTACAGTACATGAAACCCAAAAGAGTTCTACCTGGAACCAAAAAGGGTTCTACCTGGAACCGAAAAGGATTCTCCTATGGGGACAGTCGAAAACATATCGCATTTATATGCATCTCACCTGTCTGTGAGTCTGTGTTGGGGCCGCAGGGCTGGCTGTTACAGCTCTGGGTCTGCAGCCTCATCCCCTCACAGTCACGCCCCCTGTTCTTAGGGGGAGGATTGGAGCAGGTCCGGTTCCTCCCCCTCAGCCCTCCCCCGCACTGGGTGTCACACAGGGACCAGCCCATCCACTCTGACCACTGACCGTCCACTGAGATAGAGAGATGAGAGATGCAGGGATGGGGGAGGTGGGAGAGAAGGAGAAAGCAGAGGAACTTTGAATGAGCAGGGCTTGTTGGAGTCTTTGCGTTGGCAAAAATGAAAGCACTTATAGAGCACTTTAGTGTAAAACAAAAGAGAGTGCAATTGAGAGATGAGAGATAGAGAAAGAATGAGTACAGAGACAAGAAGAGAGAGAAGGGAGACAGAAAGAAAGAAAACAAAAACTGACAGATCTTGAGAAGAGGCAGTCAAAAGAGAGGAAGACACCGACAAAAACAGTCAAAACAAAGGATGACAGACAAAAACAGTCAAAAGAGAGGATGACACAGACAAAAACAGTCAAAAGAGAGGATGACAGACAAAAACAGTCAAAAGAGAGGATGACAGACAAAAACAGTCAAAGAGAGGGTCAGATCTCGGGGTGCCCCCTCACCGGGGCACGCCTTAGGGAAGCAGGCTCGGCTGTCAAACTGGGCGCCCCCACACATTCCCCCGGCCAGCGCCTCTCTCAGGACCTCCCTCTGGCGGAACAGGGAACCCAGGCCACACGTCACACTGCACTGGCTCCAGCCTGTCCACGCTGACATGATACAGTTCACTAGGGGACAGACAGACAGATAGACACCATCAATAATCATGATTAATGATTAATTAATGACCATTACTGGACAATGATCCTGGACAATGACAGGGGACAATGTCACAGACAAGGACAGATGACATTACCTTGCCCTTTATGGATGCAATGCAGCACTTTTTTTGTAAGGTCTCCATGTACTTTACTTTGTAATGTATTCAATGCAATCTACTGTAAATCATACTGAAATGTAAATCAGCCCCCCAGTTTTGACCCTCCCGGCTTGCCGTACCACAGTCTCGCTCGTCTGATCCATCAGCACAGTCCCTGTGCAGGTCACACCTCTTGTCAAGGTGCACACACTCCCCGCTGCCACAGGAGAACTGCTTGGGGGAGCAGGGGCTGGGCACCAGGGGGCGCCGTGTCGTCACTGCTGGCCTTGATGTAGTACCTGAGGAAGAGCAGGAATATGATCAGGACTATTACAGTGAGCAATAGGTGATACAACACCCTCCTATGTCTGTCAGTATAGGCAAGGCAATGGTAATAGTTGATGCTGTCACATTTTCAGGTCAACTCATGTAATCTGTGAGTCAAATATGATGATGAAGAAGATGATGATGATGATGATGACGATGATGATGACAATGAGGAGGAGGAGGAGGAGGAGGAGGAGGAGGAGGAGGAGGAGGAGGAGGAGAGGAGGAGAGGAGAAGGGGGTAAATTGAACCAGACTCTGGTGACATGTACTGTACCACAGTGGTCTTCATCAGAGCCGTCCAGACAGTCCTGGTGACTGTCACACACCACCGCAGCGTCCACACAGCCAAACAGCCTGCAGGAGAACTGGCCCTCCACGCACAGGACTCTGGGTAGGCCCCCATCATGGGCGGTCGTGGTGACCCAGAGAGCTAGGGATAAACAAACCAACAAGCACATAAACATGTAGCGAGATGGCTAGTTAGCATTGTACAGTGACGTCTCCTTCCTCAGGCCTGAAGTACCTGTGCTCCAGACTCATAAATACCTGGGCTTTTATGGGTCAATTGAGAACACTGGTTAAAATACCAGATCTGCTATGTCAGGGATCATGTCAAGCACCACATTACATATAGTGTACAAACACACACACACACACACACACACACACACACACACACACACACACACACACACACACACACACACACACACACACACACTCTTAGATAACAAGATAAAAAACAGGCCACTAGTAATAGTTTTCTTTTAGAATCTCACCTGTTGTAGACTGCAGTCCAGGTATTCCGGGGTGGAGGGTGCTGGGCCCAACCCCTGGGTACCCTGTGGATATGGATGTCCACTGCCCTGGCCTGGGGGTGGTGAACCCATGAACCCCTGGTTCCCCTGTGCCCCCAGAGCTGTCAGGACTGAGACCTGGGGTGCCCGTGGTGGCAATGCCAGGGCGGCCATCCTGGGGCTCCTTGGTGTGTACCCCGGGTTGACCCCTGGTGGGCACTGTGCCTGAAGTGTAGAGAGTGGTTCATTTGTGCATTTGACTTCATATCAGTTCCAGATATACTTGAGAAATTGAAGTGGTGATGTAATCAGTTCTTGAAAGATTGCAATAGTACAGACATGGGTGCCAATGTTCCAATGTTATTACTCTGTTTACATTGGAAAATAGACTTTCATCCTCTCAGTAACACGTGTATATTGCATGGTTCCATATTCTAAACACATCGGTGACCCCTACTCACCACAGTTGATCTCGTCCGAGTGGTCTTTGCAGTCCAGTCGGCCGTCACACAGTACAGACACAGGAACACACTCCCCAGTGTGGCAGGCAAACTGGCCCGGGTAGCAGCGCTTCACTGTCACCACCCCAACACCACGGGGAGTTGTGGCGCTGCTAGGGGTCACCAACTCATCTGTTATATAGGGTGAATCCTTACATTAGACTGACAGATGGGGATGAGAAAATAATACTTGTGTGATAAGTGTGATGTACTGTATCATGGAGAGTGCATCTAGTTTGCGCTCAATAGGCACAAACAGGAGAAAAAGTTTTAAAGGACAAAAAAGACACAAGCTCTTCCATTTCAAATATTTGCTCAACTTTTCTGCCGACTGATGTCAGACCTCTTACCCCCTTTGCAGCCTAGGATCTCTGCGCGGAGATAGAAGGTGTGTCTGAACTCTACTGGGATGATGCGGAGGTAGCGAGCTCGGACCAGCCTCCCAAGCCAACGCGTCACCGGGGTCCTGCCCACCATCCGCACCTCAAACACCTTGTACACAGACAAGGAGAAGAGGTTGGACAAAAAGTTGTGCTTTTAAATCAACTGATTCAAGTCAATTATAAAGGCTTCACCTTGGATTTCTCTTCTGACTTTCAGGTCGTTATTGTAAAAGAGAATGTGTTCTCAATGACTTAACTGCTTAAATAAAGACAAATAAACATTACAGAGGAGACAAAATGGCTTCTAGATCGTCTCTCCCAGAGGAGGATCTCTCCTGTCCTGTGTGCCGTGACATCTTCTCTGTAGTGGTGGAACAGCATAGTTAGAGTTGATACCACCTCTGTATGTAACAGTGGAACAGTAAACTGATACTGCAGCACAGTTGGAGCTAATATCACATGTATCAGTGGAACTATTTGTAGAAGGTTTATGATCATAAATATGACCTAATGTAAATATATCAACAATTATTTCTCATCATGTCAAGATCACATAGGTTACAATACAAAAGCACTGATTTTATGCAATTTTCTGTTTTCCCCATCTTACTGAAGCTCATTAAACATTGATTTTGAAGAAGAAAAACATAATTGCACTGCTCTGTCATTCCAGAGGTTTGGTACCTACCTGAGATGTAAAAAGTACTTTACAAATAAAGTGTATTATGGTCATAATCATTACTACCTTGGCAGGACTGCCCCTCTCTCCAGTCTCGGTGTAGTCAGTGAAGTGACTCTGGACCAGGGCGAAGGCCAGACGGTACTTGGAGAGGTAGCCCCACATCCTCTCACTGCCCTGGGTCACCACACCAGACACCCAGGTGGGCTCTAGGAGGTCCACCTGGAGGTAGGGCTGAGGGTCGCCTGGCAGGGGGCTCCATCCAGGCTCCATGATCAGACTGACATGAGACAAATGAATGAGAAAATAGGTCAATATGTAATTAACAAGTCAATAACCTCCATGATCAGACTATGAGATGATGAGACCAACATAAGACGTAATAATAAGAACATTTGTCGATAACAAATATGCAAATAACAAGTCAATAACAAAATATTTCAAGAACAAGAAAATATGTAATTATTGATACATTATTGGTTTTGAGAACTCACACGTTAGGCACAATGTTGAGGCGCCCGGCATCCGCAGGGTTGTTCTCACGTTGGGTGGACGAGGTCAGCTGACCGTAGCGAATCTTCCCGTCCTCCAATCCCAGTGCAGAGGAACAGATGCCTGCATGCATCCCAATTCAGATACTTCAGTACCTCAAGCCACAATCTATCATTTTCATTTCTAGTCAAAAGTTGATTCCTTTAAATAATAATTTCACATAAGCTAAATTCAACAATGACACTATTCTAAACAACTTCATGTCCAATCCATGTCCAACTGACCTCCATACCCAGGGCCACCTGCCTGTGGGGTATAGAAAAAAAGAAAGGTTATTGTAACATGAAAACAAAAGACACACAACCTCAGAAAACATGAATACACACTTATCATTTAATTACCACAGTGAATTATTGTAATGTTTGTTTGTGTGTCAATTAATCCCATAAGGGATGGGTTGCCAATTGGCGATTTGACACGAAAAGAAAATGTCATTCATTCATTCATTCATTCATTCATTCACACTCAATAGTATCAGGAGTGCCTTGACCTACTGTTGGTGTAGGGGTAGTCTTAGGCAGAGTGACAGCGGCCATACTAGGAGTCCTTAGAGGAGCTGGTGTGGGTCTGTAAGGCCTCCCTGCCTGGGTGGTATTATCATGAGGGTGGCATCCTATCTCATCCTCTCCATTGGGACAGTGGGGGATTCCGTCACAGCGCAGCGCTGCATCGATACAGCCCCCTGGTGGCGGACAGGAGTACTGACCTCTGGGACAGCCCCGTGGGCTTGTAGATGTAGGGGAGGGCTGAGTACCTGTAAAAATGTTCAATGCATGAAACCAATGGATTTGGTTATGCTTCTCAGCATACTGTGCCTTGCTTCATGTACGCTGTCTGTCTAACTATCTGATAACTCTGATTAATGCATGTCACTACTATCACTATGTCACTACTATCACCATATCACTACTATCACCATATCACTACTATCACTATGTCACTACTATCACCATATCACTAGCCAAGTCATGCTGGGTAAATATCAGAACTGACCACAGTGCAGCTCGTCAGATCCGTCCCCACAGTCATTGATCCCATCACAGACAACCCCCTTGGGCCCCGTGGGGACACAGCGCCCGTTACCACACTGGAACTCTCTAGCTCTGCAGGGCCGGGCCGGGGTGAACGGGGAGAGAGGGGAGAGAGGGGAGGGGGTGGATAGCCAGCGGGAACCTAGGGAGTGGAGGAGGAGTGTAAAGGGGGACTGTTATTGTTTTGTAACCATTTGTACTTACATTGACTCTATAGCATATATTCTTATTGTTTTGCTGATGTCTGGTAGATTTACATTTGTTTTTCAAATATAGAAAATGTAGCAGCTTTTCAAACCAATGCATACACACAACTGTAAATACTTCGTCCAACACACACCATCTCCACAGCCCATGAGTTCCAAGCGAAGGTAGATGCCGTTCTGGAAGTCATGTGGCAGCACACGTACAAACTGAGCCAACACCATCCTGTCCAGCCTGGTGTAGGACACACTCCGGTCGTCACGGTTACCCAAGAACACCTGGGGCATCAACATTAAAGTTGATTGGATTTTTTGTGTGCCTTTGTTTAACCAGGAAAGTAATTAAAAACACATTCTCTTTTACAATAACGACCTCAATTGGATGATGGGAGAGAAAATGGATTCCTGTGAAATTCAACAGCAAATTAGAGTTTTGCTCTGTTCCAATATCTACACTAGCATACTTCCTAGAATGAAGTGGGCATGCTAGAATAGACATTGGAAAGTAGTTGGTGCTAGGGTTGATGGGTAGTGGGCACCTTGGCTCTGGGGCGGGCATCAGCAATCAGCTGCTGGTAGGTGTACCACTGTCTGCCATCGTTACTGAACTGCAGGTAAAAGCTGGACACGTAGGTGTCAAACACACCTCCCCCTTGAGTCAGCACACCTGGTGGACACAGAGAGGGAGAGATAGAGAGAAATAGTGAGTATGTAGAGGAAGAGAAAACATTGATAGAGTTTTTATATCATGAATAACTAGCACCCATATAATACTAACTTGTGCATGTACACAGGCACACATAGTATCCCTCTCATTATTTGGCTGCAAGCTATATGACCCCCTGATTTGATTTGTTTTGGTTTGGTTGAAGTGGTTCATTACCAGTGATGTTGTGGGGTCTTAGCAGGTCCAGCTGGAGATATGGGGCCTGCACAGCTCCACTGTGGTCCTCGGGGGCCCCTGGAGGAAGGTCCCTGTACTGCTCTGTGTCAGGGCTCCAGCCCTGCAGGTCCTTGTGGGGGTCCCGTGCGTACAGACGCCCTGCCCGTGGAGGGTGACCCCACTGGTGTGAGGAGGCACTGAAGCTGGAGTCAGGGAGAGACTGGACCCCCAGGGGTGACCAGCACTCCTCTATACAAGCACAAAAACAGCATACTTACAAATATATTTGATAAACTACAAATACCACCGATCAACAGATTAAATATTGCGTTACAATTTGGTAGATCTCCAACAATATTCATCAGTGGTCTTTACATCAGATAAAAAATGATTCATAAACCAGATGCAATGACAAAAAGCTAGCAAGCTAAAATGTGGGACAATGCATCTGATTATTGTTAAATCAATTTGTGTTTTCATTGTATCGGTCCCTATTCAAATAAATTGTTAAATAGATCAAAGATACTGACCTCCAGGTGGAAGGGGGTATGTGGGGACCAGGGGTATACTGCCATCTGTTGGGGTGGAGGGTTGGACACTCACTGACACAGTCGCAGGTGTCGTTGCCACTGAAATGGTGCCAATGTCACCTGACAATAGGGAGAATTTCAGCACTGAAAAATCCCATTCCCACTGGCATTCTGTCACCACCTAATATCCTCTGTCTAGGTTAACTGTGTTTGGTAAGTCAGATATAACACCTACTTCAGGTTTCCATTTCAAATACACACTTCACCAGCTATCATATCAGCTAACATTTTAGTCAAATATTGCTTTTTTTCCAGCTTAATATTGAGCGTTGGAATCATTGACAAAAGGGGAACATATGGTTAGTACTGTAGATACTAGTTACCTTCACAATAACAACACATGTCACCTTCCCCTGGAACCAGACTCTGACCCTGCAAGACAAAATACACTATTCGACTGTTGCTATGACACAGGGCCATGACAGGAAACTAGTGAGTCATGTGTCAACAGAATTATAGATACTTTTTTTGAGGTGGTTGAGGAAACACACAGGCTAAAACATTTCCTTTAGATAAGAACCCTCTTAGTCAAACAGTGCTAGAAAAACACATTTTTAACATAAGGTATTCTGGCATGGGCGTACGCAAACACACAAGCACACACACACAGATGCACATACACACACACGCACAGTTACTGTAAACCTCAGTGTTTCTGACCTGGGGGCAGCCAGTGGCAGCATGTTGGCAGTAGGGGGCACACTGCACTGTGAGGTTGGGTAGACAGTGGCACAGCTGGCACTGGCCCGCCTTCCATCGGTCCCCAACTGCATGGGACTGGCCTTGGAACTCACACTCCTCACAGGAATCGGTCTGACAGCTGGGGACAGACACGCACAGACGCAGGCACGCACACAAACACACACACACACACACGGTGTCATGTTACCATCCCTCTGCCAGACTCCAGAGTGCAGGATGTTCCAAAAATGTATGGGAGTAAAGGAATTCCACTCCTTAACCATTTCTAAGTATCACTGGTACTTGCAGAATGTCTTATTGAAATGTCTGTAAGTTGACAGGAAAGGCAATGTGTTAAACAAACATTCAAACGTATTGTAGTGTATGTAGATTTATTTATCATCATGTATAAACATGATGAATGTGATTTAATGTGTACTGTGTCCCTTACCGGCGAGCTTTCCGGTAGATTCCTCGGCACTTTCTCCCATTGCCATGGTTACTGGGGTTGTTGGGACTGCGGAAGGACCACTGGACACTCTGGACCCCACACGGTCCCAAACACTCCCCCCAAGCTGACCACGTCGACCAACCACAGTGGACTGGCACACACACACACACACACACACACACACACACACACACACACACACACACACACACACACACACACACACACACGCTATGTTACATTGTAATAATTTAGCAGATGCTCTTATCCAGAGCAATGAGGGTTTTGGTTCCTGGCCCAACACAACCGCTAGGCCATCTGCCGGCAAAACACAGACAGTCAGTGATGCAGCAGTCTAGTACAGACTAGACATCTTGTCCAAGTACACTCTGTATTGTTTTCATAAGCCTTTACAGAATCTTGTACAGACAGTTACATTTTTTAACTTGAACTTGAACAAAGGTGAAGCCTGGGTCTTGTTTAAGAGACAGGAAATGAGAAAAGATGTAGGGACTAAAAGTGCTTTTGAAACAGGAAGTGGTACAATCTCTCCATATAAGTACACTATTTTCCATAACATTTCTTCCAACTGAACACAACCTAACAGTAGGGTGTACTGTGTAGTGTTGTGTAGACTAACCTGAACATTCTGGGTTTGGCTGGCAGTGTTGAGGTCTGCCTCTCTCACACGTACAGATCTCACAGTCCTTCTTGACATGCTGCCCAGGCCAGTACCGCACCCCGGCCACCTCACACACACACTCCTCCGGCAACACACACTGCTGGGCATGGTTCATCACCCGACCCTCTGGACACCAGCAACCTGCAGGGGAGAGGGATGAGGAGGAGGGATGAGGAGGAGGGTGTAAAGTGAAGAATAGTGAAGACTAGGGCTTGGAAATACAACAACTCCCCAGCATGAACAAATGTTTGAGCTTTGCATTGTGTGGCTAAACTCAGTGCTTTATATCAACTGTCAGTCATCCTCTATTCTCCATGTTGGTAAGCGTTCTGTTGTCTTGGGATCTGCAGCCAATAAATGTGATATTGATTATTGATTATAGAGCACATCCTCCTCTCCTGTTCTCTGACCTGAGAAACATGGTGCAGTCGTGTCACAGATGGAGCCACTGCTGATGTGGCCACATGACACTGGGCAGGGGGCACAGCTGAGTCTCACCAGGCCACTAGGACATGTGACGTTGGCACAGCCATCTTCAGGGCAAGGCTCTGGGGGGGGGGGGGGGGGGGGGGGGGGGTAGCGAGAGAGAGACAATGTAAGAGAGGATGAAAGCTTGACTTTGCAGTTCATTTCATGGAACTTAATCAATTATTAGTCTTTCCATATCTGGTCAAATATATTTCAGTCTTAGTGGACTTACTGATTTCCGTGGCCAGGGTAGACTCTCCAGGGAGCTGGGTGCAATCTCTGCCCCCGTTCTGGGGTGGGATGCACCCCCTCTGCCTCACCTCCACACCCCCACAATCCTTAGAGCAGTTAGACCACGTCACCCACGGCAACCACTGCCCATCCACTGTTGACAAGAGGCAAGTATGTCATGCAAAGAGGGTTCACATTGTGATAAATAACAAGTGATGATGATGATGATGATTATGATGGCGAACAAAGATAACAAATCTAATGAAGATTCAAATGACAATGATGATGATGAAGATGATGAAGATGCTACTCACTACTGTAAGTCGCTCTGGATAAGAGCGTCTGCAAAAAAATTACTAAAATGTAAATGTAAAATGAAATGATGATTGCGATGATGATGATGATGATGTCGATGCTGATTGTGAAGACAAACATGATGATGATGAGGATGATGATGAAGGTACTACTGCTGCTGACTAATATCACATATGATAACAACAGCCACCATATGTCTTGTCTCTCCCATCTCTCACCAGGACATGACGTGCTGAAACACTGCTGTCTCTGGGTGTCGTCCCCTCTGCACTGACCCAGGGCGTCCCCCAGGGAGCAGAGTCTCTGCCTGCTCATGGAGCCTGTCCCACAGGAGAGGCTACAAGGACTCCAGGGGCCCCATGGGGCCCAGCTCCTACAGCCCTGCTCATCAGAGGGCCCCCCTAAGGACCCCAGCAGGGAGTCAGCACAGTCTGCCATGCCATTACACACCTAGAACACACACCAAGAACCAAAACTAGAACCACACCTAGATCACTCTACTTAAAGGCTCAGTGCAGTCAAAATTCAGTTTTTCCTGTGTTTTATTTCATATGTCACATTTTATATCATACAGCTGATCAATCTAACACTGTAAAAGCTTGAAAAAAAATGATCAGTGTTATTTCTTGATAGTTACTGGTTGAAAATATAATATACACTTGACCTTCTAAATAGCAGGTTTGCATGGGCGTGAGTTTCGGCTTTCCATGGTGACATCACCATGCGGCAAATTGGTTAATAGACCAATAAACAAAGAGAGTTCCAAACCTCTCTGCCAATAACAGCTAGTTTTCAGTTTTCCCCTCCCCACTCAGACCACTCCCAGACAGTTCTAGCAAAGAAAATGTTTTGCTATAAAACTTTCTTTACCTGTTTTAATGGAAATATATTACAGTAAGGTACTTAACTGTTACCCAGAAATGATTTGATATTGATATAAAAATGTCTGCATTGGGCCTTGAACATTCAGGGCAGCACTTTATTTGCAAAAAATACTAGGGTCATATTCATCAGGCACCAAACAGAAGAAAAACGACTGAAACTGAAATATTTTCTGTTGTAAAATGTTTTTACTGTTGCATGTCCTAATGAACATGACCCAGGTATATACAAATAAATGACATGGTATGATATTATACTGTGCTGCGTATTTTTGGCCTGAAGCATTTGTTTTGTTTAATGTTTTAAAGCACTGAAGTAAAATGTTTGGTTAGGGGAATCTTACTGCTTTGAAGGAGACACAGGATCCGTCCAGGCAGGTGAACTCAGGACAGGTGTGACTGGTGTTCTTATCACCAGGGGGAGCAGGGGACGGGCTGGTCTTATCTAGTTACAGGAGAATACAACCACAGACTATGGGGCTCAATTCAATCAAACAACATTGAAAAGTCAGTGAAATTGACCATCTGAAACTAGGTTTGCAGAGCTCCATGGCTCTGAGGGATGGTTTGTGCATCGCATTAGATTCTCTTTTCCTCTCACAACTCACCACACACCAGCTCATCCTCTCCGTGTGGACAGTCGGCCACTCCGTTACACACTTGAGTTGCGTTCACACACGTGCGGTTGTCACATGGGAAGCTCCCAGGGCAAGGTGGGATCCTTGCGGAGCCTAAAAACCCCCAGATGGTGCTCTTTTTACAAACATCTGTTAATATTCATTTATGGGATGCATGTACTCGTGTTGGTGTGTATATATTTGCTGTACATACTGTATATAATGCATATACAGTGGGGGAAAAGAGTATTTAGTCAACCACCAATTGTGCAAGTTCTCCCACTTAAAAAGATGAGAGAGGCCTGTAATTTTCATCATAGGTACACGTCAACTATGACAGACAAAATGAGGAGAAAAAAATCCAGAAAATCACATTGTAGGATTTTTTATGAATTTATTTGCAAATTATGGTGGAAAATAAGTATTTGGTCAATAACAAAAGTTTCTTAATACTTTGTTATATACCCTTTGTTGGCAATGACACAGGTCAAACGTTTTCTGTAAGTCTTCACAAGGTTTTCACACACTGTTGCTGGTATTTTGGCCCATTCCTCCATGCAGATCTCCTCTAGAGCAGTGATGTTTTGGGGCTGTCGCTGGGCAACACGGACTTTCAACTCCCTCCAAAGATTTTCTATGGGGTTGAGATCTGGAGACTGGCTAGGCCACTCCAGGACCTTGAAATGCTTCTTACGAAGCCACTCCTTCGTTGCCCGGGCGGTGTGTTTGGGATCATTGTCATGCTGAAAGACCCAGCCACGTTTCATCTTCAATGCCCTTGCTGATGGAAGGAGCTTTTCACTCAAAATCTCACGATACATGGCCCCATTCATTCTTTCCTTTACACGGATCAGTCGTCCTGGTCCCTTTGCAGAAAAACAGCCCCAAAGCATGATGTTTCCACCCCCATGCTTCACAGTAGGTATGGTGTTCTTTGGATGCAACTCAGCATTCTTTGTCCTCCAAACACGACGAGTTGAGTTTTTACCAAAAAGTTCTATTTTGGTTTCATCTGACCATATGACATTCTCCCAATCCTCTTCTGGATCATCCAAATGCACTCTAGCAAACTTCAGACAAGCCTGGACATGTACTGGCTTAAGCAGGGGGACACGTCTGGCACTGCAGGATTTGAGTCCCTGGCGGCGTAGTGTGTTACTGATGGTAGGCTTTGTTACTTTGGTCCCAGCTCTCTGCAGGTCATTCACTAGGTCCCCTGTGTGGTTCTGGGATTTTTGCTCACCGTTCGTGTGATCATTTTGACCCCACGGGGTGAGATCTTGCGTGGAGCCCCAGATCGAGGGAGATTATCAGTGGTCTTGTATGTCTTCCATTTCCTAATAATTGCTCCCACAGTTGATTTCTTCAAACCAAGCTGCTTACCTATTGCAGATTCAGTCTTCCCAGCCTGGTGCAGGTCTACAATTTTGTTTCTGGTGTCCTTTGACAGCTCTTTGGTCTTGGCCATAGTGGAGTTTGGAGTGTGACTGTTTGAGGTTGTGGACAGGTGTCTTTTATACTGATAACAAGTTCAAACAGGTGCCATTAATACAGGTAACGAGTGGAGGACAGAGGAGCCTCTTAAAGAAGAAGTTACAGGTCTGTGAGAGCCAGAAATCTTGCTTGTTTGTAGGTGACCAAATACTTATTTTCCACCATAATTTGCAAATAAATTCATAAAAAATCCTACAATGTGATTTTATGGAGAAAAAAATTCTCAATTTGTCTGTCATGGTTGACGTGTATCTATGATGAAAATTACAGGCCTCTCTCATCTTTTTAAGTGGGAGAACTTGCACAATTGGTGGCTGACTAAATACTTTCCCCCCCCACTGTATTAGTATTGCTATGCATGTATTATATAGTATGGTTCCTATCCAGTAGGTGTCAGCACAAAATATATGTTTCATGTATTTCAATCAGGTGCATTACTAACCACAGTTGTCCACGCTCTCATCGGAGGCGTCCCTACAGTGAGGTATACCATCACATAGCTGCTGGTAGTCCACACACTGGTCACCACTGAGACATGGCACCTGGCCGGGGCCACACACCCAGGGACAGCCCTGCTCGTCACTCCCATCCAAACAGTCCGTCTCCCCATCACAGTGCCAAGCCCGGGGCACACACTGCCCATTGGCACAGGCAAACTCATAAGGCTGGCAGGCTGGGGTAAGAGAGAGGGGGGTCAGTTTGTCCCTTACCCACAAGGCACCTAGCTAGGGAGGTCTTATAGATCTGAGAGGATTAAGATGGTTGTATGAAGTATATTTGTATGTAGCAATATGGTTGTGTGAAGCAATATTAAGTATATTTCACCCAGCAATCCTGATGAGTAATAAGTCTGTACTGCAGATACCTATCCAATCCTTTCAGGAGTGCCTTGTGGTAGGAGTTATGGTGGGGGTTGGAGTTGGAGTTGTGTGGGAGACACTCTTGAGTAACTCTTGGGCAGAGTGCCAGCCTTCGCTCTTGACATTCTAAACAGTGTTGTTGCTCTTACCTGAAGTGGGTGCAGTCGGGGTGATGGGTGTTGCTATGGTAACTGGGGCCATGGTAACTGGGTGACAGTTGTTCTGGTCCTCGTCCTCTCCGCCCTGGCAGTCTGTCACCCCGTCACACAGCTTGGTGGGTGTCACACAGGTGCCATCAGCACACAGGAACTGACCAGGGGCACAGGTCACTGTCACAGAAACAAAGGTTTAGACACAACGCAGGGGGAGTTGGGATATGCAAAAAACACATGAAATAGGACAAATACAAACACCCACCAGTTATTATAATTAAATTTTATACACACAGGTACACGCATGCACTCACACTCACTAAAGTCACATTTGCTGATCAGATTGTGTTTCCAGAGGCCTCAGAGCTCTCAATGTTGTTTGAAAATGTGTAATATCTAGGAA